ATTGGGAGTATCCGGTGTGATTATTGTGATAAGGCTTGCCACATTCGTGAGACATGCTCGAAAACTCCATGGCAAACTAGCTAACTGGAAGGGGTCACATGAAAGAAAATATACTAAAGTACCTTCCGCTAATGAGGTGAAGACAAACTCATTTAGCCCGGAGCAGATCAACTACATCCAAAAATTACTAAGGCCTAAGTTTGAGTCATCTAGTGCCCCTAATGCTTCGATTGCACAAACAGGTAGTGATCCTAGTGTCTTTTCATGTTCGTTCCTATTGATTCCATTCTTTAGATAATAGATTCAGGAACTTCTAATCACATGACTAGTTTCTCATATCTAATTCACTCATATAAACCATGTGCTTGGTCATGAACAAGTTCGTATAGCGAGATGGATCACTTTAATCTATTGTTGGTAAAGGTTACGTGTATTTTTCCCCTGCTTGTTTGTCTAAAATCTATTCTACATGTTCCTAAACTTACTTGCAACCTCCTATCCGTGAGTAAGTTAGCTCAAGACTCTAATTGTATAGTCATTTGCTCGACTCTCATTGTATTTTCCAAGAGCGAGAATACGGGGAAGATGATTGGCGATGCTTGAACTTAAAGATGGGTCGTACTACTTTGTTGACGAAGAATCCAAGAATAAAATGGCTCACGTACTGTAGTAGTGTTTGTTCTACCTCCGTTAAAGATCAAGTTCTTCTCCGGCATAATAGATTAGGTCACCCTAGCTTCATTTATCTTAAGAAATTGTTACCTCGGTTGTTTACTGATTTTGATTGTTCAAAACTTGTGTGTGAAAGCTCGTATTTTATCAAAACGTCATAAGAACGAGTACTCTTTGAAACTTTATAAACCTTTAAAACCATTTTACTTGATTCATAGTGATGTTTGGGGCCCGTCAAGGGCGAAAACTAACAATGAAAAAAGGTGATTTATGACATTTATAAATGATCACACTAGACTACGTTGGGTTTATTTATTGAATGAAAAATCGAAGTTGCTCACGTAGTTCAAAATTTTTATACCATGGTTGAAACATAATTTCAAACTAAGATTTGTATTTTACACTCGATAATGAAACCGAATATCTAAATGAGATTTTAGGAAGTTTTCCGAAGGAAAAAGGAATTGTTCATCAATCAACTCTGTGTTAATACCCCACAGCAGAAATGGTATTCGTTGAACGAAAAAACGAGCATTTACTTAAAGTTGCTCATGCTTTAATGTTTTCCATGAATGTACCTAAGTATTTGTGGGGTGAATCTATCTTAACTGCAATGTACTCGATCAATAAAATGCCTAGTAGAGTGTTAAACTAGGATTCACCATTACATGTGTTTCAAAAGTGTTTTCCTAGTAACAGTCGTTCTTAGTTCTCCCTCTTAAAATTTTTAGCTACACTCGTATATGTTCATTTCTTTGGTCAATCAAAACTTGATCCTGAGGTCTGTAAAACATGTTTTTATAGGATATGTTCCTAATAAAAAGGGGTATAAGTGTTTTAATCCTACAATTAGGAAAATAGTTATTTCTATAGATGTTACTTTCTTAGAATCTCGAAATATTTCCTTCGGGGGAGAGTCACGATAGTGAGGAAGGAAATTTCGGGATATTGTTCCTAATCATTTACCCACAATGGAGGTAGAAAGTGTACATAACCCGAAACCTCAAGTAAAAGCTAATGGTTAACCTAATTTGCTTATACGGAATGATCCTACTTCGGGGGAGAAACACTACAAATTGTCGTCGGAGACAAAAACAATGAGCTTCGGTTTATACAAAGAGGAAACATCAAGAGAGAAGTAAAGCACATCATCCAGTGGAACCGATGCTGGAAACCACTCGGGGCCAATCAAATTTCCCGCATTCCGAACCTAGCCACGATCAAAACTCATGTAATCCATCCGATACTTTGCCTCTAGTTATCAATGATGTTGATTAACTCGTTTCTATCAATCTTATAGATACTTCTACCTGAATTGTCTGCAGATCATCATCTACCTATAGCCCTTAGGAAAGGTAAAAGGTCTTATACCAATCATCCGTTGTCTAAACACTTATCTTACGATAAATTATCCCAAAAACATAGATCATTTATTTCCAAGGTCACTAATTTGTTTATTGTAAGAAACATTTAGGAAGCACTAAATGACCCGGGGTTAAAAATTAACTGTTATGGAGGAATTGAATGCTTTGGAGAAGAATGGGACGTGAAACTCGGTGAATCCGCCTAAAGGCCGAAACTTGTTGGTTGTAAATGGGTGTTTACTCGTTAAGTTTAAAGCCGATGGTAGTATTGAAAGAAGAAAGGCAAGACTGGTGGCAAAAGGGTTTACACAAACCTATGGAGTGGATTATCGTGAAACATTTGCTTCGATAGCAAAAATAAACACAATCGAATTCCGTTGTCACTTGCAGTGAACTTTGATTGGAAATTACATCAACTAGATGTAAAGAATGTTTTTCTGAATGGAGACCTAGAAGAGAAAGTATTCATGAAGTTTCCGTCGGGCTTTGAAGGTGTATATGGATTGGATAAAGTCCGTAAGTTGAAGAAGTCACTATACGGATTAAAGCAATCCCTTAGAGCTTGACTTGACAGGTTTGGAAAAGCTGTAAAGAGCCATGGATATTGCCGGGGTCAAGCTGACCACACCATATTCTACGGAAGGTCACCGGAAGGTAAACAAACAATTCTAATTGTTTATGTTGATGATATTATCTTAACTGGTGATGATGAAGAAGAAATAAAGAGGTTGAAGGAGAAGCTAGCTCAAGATTTTAAAATTAAAGACCTAGGACCATTGAAGTATTTCCTATGGATGGAATTTGCTAGATCAAAAATGAAGATCTTTGTGAATCAAAGAAAGTATATCCTGGACCTACTAGATGAAACCGATCTCTTGGGGTGTAAGGCGGTTGACACACCAATAGAGCCAAATGTGAAGCTTAGCCACGCCAAGCCGAGGATGTGATTGATAGAGATAAGTTCCGGAGGTTGGTGGGAAGACTAATATACCTATCTCATACGAGACCGGATATAGCCTTTGCGGTAAGCGGGATAAGTCGGTTCATGCATTCTCCTAGTCAAGAGCATTTTGAAGTCTGTTTAGAGAATCCTAAAGTACTTGAAGGGAACTCCTGGACAAAGGTTAATGTTCCGGAAGAGGAATAACCTCCAAGTGGAGGTGTATACGGATGTTGATCGGGCTGGAGCAAAAGCCGACGGAAGGTCAATTTCGGGTACTCGTACTTTCATTGAATTGAATCTAGTAACCTAGAGAAGCAAAAGCAAAATGCGGTAGCTAGAAGCGATCTTGAGGCGAATTTAGAGCTTTAGCTCATGGGATTTGTGAGGCTATATGGATTAAAAGAGTTCTAGAAGAGTTAAAGGTTCCTATTGCTACACCTATGAAGGTCTACCGTGACAACAAAGTCGTAATTTCGATTGCACACAACCCAATTCTTCATGATAGAACTAAACACATAGAGGTGGACAAGCATTTTATCGAGGAGAAGATTGAAAATGGACTCATTTATATTCCCTACATCCCTACAGACCTAACAAGTAGCTGATATCCTTGCAAAGGGACTTCCTAACAATCGGTTCAATGTGTTAGTAAGCAAGCTAGCTATGAAAAATATTTTCCAGCCAGCTTGAGAGGGAGTGTTGAAAGATACGATCTAGAAGATTGAGTTAAGGAATTAGCTCCTATAAATTAGCTAAATCAAATCTATTAGTTAATGTACGAGTTGTAGTTTCCTAGTATAGCTTTATTAGTTAATGTACAGTTGTAGTTTCCTAGTATAGTCGCACTACTCGTATTATATAAGCTTGTACCCGCATAATGAAAAGACGAGCAATACACATACCTTTAGCGAACCCTACTTTTCACACATAATAATGAAATTCAAACTTCTCAAAGAACATACATTAGATTATTAGAATATGTACTAGATCATTCAAGTTTTTCAAATGTATATTATATGTACCATTGGATTTAAAGTAAAAGATAAATTAGATACATACCTCTTAATAGTATAGATGATTTGCGTATTTTGGTAAAGCAATATGCCGATAATATGTTGTAAAAGAAATAGAAACAATATAAGAATTGAAGAGAAAAATGATAAGAAAATAAATTCACTATAAAACCAAGTGAATACAAGCGATAAGAATTTTAAATTATTTTTTCAATCTCTACAAAATACTTAGACACAAATTAATGAACAATGAAGCCTATTTATAGGCTTTAAAATTAGAAAAATAATTGAAAGGAACCATGAATAATTTAAAAGTACATAAATGGTTGAATCAATTACATCATCTTTTCAATTTCTCATATTGAATAATGAATTAAATTACATTAAAAATTGTGAGTGGTGGGAATATAAAAAGCATATGAACATTCATATGAATATTTATTATTTCATAACAAATTATAATTTATTTGGTTAATAATATAATGAGAAGGTCGATACCTATATATCTTATCAACACTCAGTTAAATCTCTCAATGAACTAAAAAAAAAAAAAGTCAATTACTTAGTGCATTTTTATCTAATTCATTTAATTTGATATATTTAAAACATTCATTTTGTTTTAAATTTGCTTTTAATAAGAATTATAGGGTGGCTAAAGAGTCAACGTAAGTTATGAGTGAACTAAATTCAGAAGTTGACAACCCAATCAATTGAAATGAAACTAAAGAAAAGATAAATGAAAGACACGCACTCTCAACAGTCCCAACTATTTCAATTATTTCATGATAAACATTGAATTAAATCATCAGTCATGGAGACTTACCAAGTGTGTAGGTTTAATTGGTGCCAATAATTTTTATCTTTCTGTCACTAGCTAAGGGCCATTTCTCTTTCACTCTGTCTAGGGTAACCAACTGCTTCAACGGCTAGTAAAACCTTTAATAATTTGCTGGTAACCCACTGTTTCAGTATTTTTCTCTTTCTGGCTAGTCTGCTTGTCTGCTTACAATGCAAGCAGAAAAGCAGCAAACTTGGAAAATCAATGTACATGCTAGATCCAAAAAATTCCGTTTCAAATTCAAAGCAACAAAAACAGATCAACCCATCTGGAAGTTGCCCAAATTCTCAATCTTTCTGAGGATCCATAAATTTCTCCTCCAAGTGAATACAGAACCTGGAACTTCAATTCCCCGATGGAAAAAACCAAGAACCCTGAAATCAAAATTCCTCAATTTTTTTCGAAAGTTCAAGACTTTACCGTCGAAGAAACAGACAACTGCAGCAGAGAAAACCCAAAATCTCCAAAACCCAGATAATAAATTACGTGTGGATCAAAAGAGAGAAATTGGTTATGATTATGAGGTAATGGATATTCGTGAACTCACTTCGCTCAATTTCATTGGTATATATCTGTAGTCATACTGTCATTATAGTGAATTATCTTTGAGTATTGATTTATGTTTGTAGATGCCATTTTGTATTGGATCTTTGCTGGTTGGGACACTTGCATTGCTATCAGAATCAATCTGCGAGAAAAATCAGAAGGGAATTATCATCCATGCTTCATTTATCTTGTTATTTCTTGCTTTCTTGTTCAAGAAATATGTAACCGGGAAGGCCAGGACTTTATTGGTGTTTTTAACAATGGCAACTGCAGTTTCTGCAGTTTTGTTTCGTTTAGACAAGTACATGAATTATGATCAAGGTTTGGTCTCAGAATTTGTCTGGAAGGCATGGAATTATGCTGCTGCTTCTGGGTGTTTATACGAGCTTTCTCAAGTGGTATCCATTTTTTTTTTTTCATTTCTTTTTCAAGCCTTAATTTCTGGTTATAGTTTTTTGAGTTCAGTGCTAAATAGTTAGTTGCCTGACAAAGTTCACATTTTTCAGGTAATTTTATTAAGGTTTGCAATCTATGGATGTAGTGCAGCCAGAAGCCAAATAATTGGATGACTTGACAGTTGGCATCTCAATTATCCTAGGAATGGTAGCCCCAGTGCTACATGTAGGCGTCCAGTCTTCTTTGATTAGATTAGAAAAAAGATTATATGATTTCTCCTTCTTTTTTTCTATTTTTTTCCCCTAGTGATGTACTAATAATCTATGGCTGAATCATTAGTTTTTCAATTTTTATATTTTATTGTGTGTATATGGCATAGACCTATCCTAAGATTCAATTGTGATGTATTCCAAAGTTTTTTACAACATTTTAATTCAATATGGATTTACTCGAATCAAGTTAACCCCGATTAGCAGTAGAGCAAGCTTCTATCCCCTCAGTAACCCACCTAGACCAAAAAGTAAAATGGCCGGTTGGCCATAGCTCCGGTGCCATGGAATCAATAATACGATTGCAAATTGCATTGGCAAGGAGATGAGTAGCAAATTCTTGGCCCGGTATTATCTGGGCTAGAGTTTATGCCTCTATTGGAAAATTGGACCATTGGTCATAGCGAGCTTTCCAAAGAAGTTTACAATCTTTCACTTGGTCAAAGGACAACACGGGATTTATGGCCTAAAGTATAAGACCAAATCCGTGAGCCCAAAAGACTAAACACCGTACTTTTCAAAGTCTACTTCATTGGACTATGCCATTCAATTACGACCCACTTTGAATATGTTTGTACTTTGCGCTAGCCTACAAACTCTGTCTTCGGGTCGGCCCCCTGATTGCGAATGAATGTTAATTTGACCTGGCTCGGAAAATACACGTCGAACCCTTGAAGAAACTCGACTTTTATCTGACTCCATAAGGATCTGGGCGGAAAAGGGTTTTTGACGCCTTCACCTTCTTCGAAACTAACCAATTAAATAGTATTATTTTTACTCTTACTCTTAATGTGGATTATTAAGTTAGTGTATTTTATTAGGTATATCGATTGTTGTTAATATATACTTTTTTTTTCAATTTATATTTATTCCAAAATGATTGTTTAGTCAAAATTTTTAAGTAATATATTTTTATAAAATACTCTTAATTATAAAAAAAAATTAATTTTTTCATTTTTGATTTTTCACTAAGAAAAAATTAATATTATTTATATTTTATCTTTATACATATAAATACTTTTAATATAAATTTTTTCAAAAAATTAATTAAATAAAAATATTTATTCATGTACAAACTTTACTACCTGTTGAAATTTTAAAAAATAAAATATTTTAATTTATATGTTATTTTTATATAATTTTTTAAATTTAATCGATAATTAACTTAATGATTTTTTCTTTGATTTATCACCTTTAATTTAGATAATTTTTTTAATTAATATTGGTTACATATAATATATGATTAAATTTGATATTTAATAATTTAAATGAAAAAATATTTTCAAAAAGAAAAATGCTTTGTGACACCATGGTGATAGACACCATTTTCAAAAATAGAAAGGATTTAGAGATAAATTAGAAAAGTGAAAATATTAAATGATATAATACCAATTGAAATAAAATATCATTTCTAGTATTCATTCAAGAAAACACTACTCTTATAAAATTATGATAATTTTTGTTTTTTTTATTTTTTTGACACCACCAATATCATGTTGCACTATTTTTAAAAATAAATAAATATTGATATAATATGAAAAGCTAAGAGAGACGATTTCTTTAATTTTCAGAGACGTGGAGGGTAAAAACTCCGACCCGACCTGACTGGACTTGATTGCTTGCCACTTTAAGACAACATCGTCTTAATTTGGGCTTACAATGTCTGGCCCATAACTAAGAGGATAAGATAAACCATGATTACAGCCGAGAAAGATTTTCTTAACAAAGTCATTAACTTATGCAGTACTTATATTGTCTGCACACTAAACAAGGTTAATGAATTTACCTCTTTTAGGGTAGGTCAAGTTAATACTGCCACGCGTTTTTTACAGCAGGTAAATTACACTCCCTATCAAATGAACAGTAAAAGCACTCGTGCGGCCCCCACGATTCCCTGCAATGATGTGAATTCCACGCTTGAATGGCGCGTGGTAGATTTGATGAGTTTTTCATTTCAGTCTGGGGCCCATGTTGGGTTTCCAATAGATTCGTGCTGGCCGTTGATCTCTCCTCCACGAGCAAATCTGACGGGGAAAATGTTTCAGAGTCAAAAACCTATCTTGATAGGTCTCTTTGACCACACTGAAACTTTAAATTTTTTTAAATTTAAAAATACAATTAATTTTCCAAAGTTTGACTGAGCTGTCACTTCAATCGAGGCGCTCTTCTTTGAAAATCGAGGTGGCTTGTGAAATGACACTTATGGGCATACTTTCTAATCTTGCATGCCTCTCTACCCTACACAATGACCGAAACACCCTCATGGATTGGTGAAGTTGATTAAAATTTAAAAAGGTTATTTTTAAGTTAAAATGGAAGGAAATGAAAGAGGATGATGTAAATTCATGCATAACACTAGTTCATTGAAAGTTCATTATTAGAATATATCTTAAATGATTCATATTGATTAAATTATCATAAGATTGTAATTGAAAAGTTTATTATACAAGTCAATTAAGAGTATAATGTGGTAAATTAGATAGAATTTTGAACAAAAATCTTACATTCGCATTGCATTTTTATCTAAAAGGAAAAAAAACAAATCATATTTTATTTTACAATATTTCTAGAGCCTTTAACCTATTGTTCATGTAAATATAAATATTTATTGAGTTTTTTTTAACTCGATTTATGATTAGAATTTGTGTTTATAACTAACTTAAATTTTAAATTAATCAAAAGCTTTTATTGCAATCTTTACCGTAAATTAATTATATCAATTTCAATTGGTTTTGAATAATTTTAATAACTAGTAATTATTAGCTAGACATTCTTTTAACTACCAAACAGATCGATAAAATTAAGTTTTTTAAGTGAAAATTTTAATAATTTTAGCCTTATCATATTTTTTCATATTGAAAATAATATTATTTCGTTGTTTTTTATCATATCAAATTAAATCAATCACGAACTTTGATTAATTAGATCACTTATGAGTAAATAAATATATATTTTTTAATTCAAACAATAGATAAAAAATACATATTTATTCTCTTAACATAAGTTTGAAGTTAAAAATTTTATTGTTTCTTTCTTACTATTTTCACTATTAATCTTGTGAATGTATAAGATTATTAAATTGTTTTTAAATATTTTGAAATCTAACTTAATTGATAAGTACATGTACTTCCCATATTATCATCTCACATCAAATTTTGAAAAAATATATATTATAAAAAAATAATTATTTATAAATGCATTATGATGTGTTTAAAACGCAACTAAAAAATTATTAGTCTATGTTCTAAAAACAGGGGGTAGAAAAGGTAGTAGAACTTAGACAGCACATAAGCTAGACATCGAAAGGGCAATTCAAGTCATTAAAACAAATTTTGAATAACATAATAAGACAACATAGAGGGCAGAAGAGTCTAAAAGGAATGAGAAATCTTTTCTTCTTCTTTTTTTTTCTTTTTTTTTTTTGTAAATGTTGGTGACAATAATCACATATTAATGGAGTAATTAAATCCTGGGTTTTGGTAGGTTTGACCACTGCTCTCATTGGCCCCTTTCTCCCTCTCTCTCTCTCTCTCTCTCTCTCTCCCTCTCTCTCTTTCTTCTCTATTACACTAATATTCCTCAGCATCTTTTTTGTCTACTTTTTATTAATTGAAAAAATCTCTTCTCTCTCAGCTTTTTCTCATTTGCTTTCTTTGACTTGTTAAGGGTTTTTGTTTTTCCTCATCAAAATCACACCTTTCCCATTTCTCCATTTTTTTTGTTCTCCTCTCTCGATATTCATCCCTTGCTCTTTCAAGTTGGAAGCTTTGCATGAGCTGGTGTTTAAAGGTTTGATTTTTATTGTTTCTTTTCCCTACTTTGTTTCTGTTTTATTCACGATTGTTTTAAGTTTGGAGCAGATGGGTTGTTTTGTTAATGGATTGTAAAGTTGTGACTTTTTGTTTTTGTTTAATGGGTTTTTTGTTGCTTGATTTTCTGTTTTTTCGATTTTTTTTTTTTTTTTTTTTTTGTAAATAAGTATTTGTTTGTTTGTGGGAAATTTTTTATAGGAAAATTGAAGTATGTGATTGGTTGATATTTGGAATTTTGGGTCTTTAAAGTTTTGAATTTTTTTTGGTGATTTTGGATCTGGGTTTGGGTAGTTTGGTTCAGCTGATGGGGTGCTGATTTATGTAGCGTTTGTCTTATTTTGAAAGTGCATTAATGTAGATGCTTTTAATATTTTTTTGATCCTCATGTAATTTAATGGCTTGGTTCATTGGTGGGGAATATATTGTCTAGTTGGCATTTTAGGGAGATTTAAGGCGTTTTGATTGTGTGGTGAACTTAAAGTTGGATAATTTTGTTTTGTTCTCTTGTTACTTTTTGACAGCACCGATTTATGTTAAACGCCAATTTTTATGATTCGGTATTAAATTTTAGAGAAATTTGATCCACTTGTGATTAAGGGTTGTGCAAACTTGAGCCACAGATTAACTTATTTCTTCTATTATTTTACTTGCATTTCTGTGATTGTGATTAATTGAGGTGTAATTTGAGCTGCCATTGCTATGAAAAGATATTTTAATTTGATTGAAACTTTGATGGAGGTCCTTGAATGTTCTTATTATGATATAACACTGAGAATAGTAATGCATGAAAGGACTGAAGGTTAGGGATCAATCGTTTTACTTATCTGTTTGGATAATTATGCTACTTAGCATTCTTGTCAAACATGGAAATTCCTGCAACTTGAACCCTTGAATTAGTTTTTGTTCATATTAGCATTTGCAAACCTCAATGTGAAATGAAAAACGAATCCTGTAGTTTACACATGCTTTCTTTTCTAAATATTTTATCGGCTTTGGGAAATTTGCATTGATATCTATGCTTCTTTTTTTTGGCAGAAACATAGAAGATTTCCTTAGAGCTTTCAAGAATTGAATGTAATAAGATGGGCTGTTTCACAGTTTTGAAGAGCAAAAAGAAAAGGCCTGAGCCTTCTGTTTCCACCAAGCGTGTCAGTCCTAAGGAGCAAATACCAACTACTCTGCCTGAGCCCCAGTTCGCAACTCGGTCATTGCAGTCGGCACCCCCTAGTTTTAGGACCAGAGTGAAGCCTGTTCAACCAGAAAACAAAGTAACTAGCAATAGGGCACGGGCATTATCAGCTCCAGAAAGCCTTGATGCAGCCGAACAAGATGCTCTTGCATCAGCTGAATATGAAGAGCATGAAGAGTCAAAAAACCGAGTTGGAATAGCAAAGGAGCCACGGCTACCAGGTCCACAACCTCTTCCACTCCCATCACCTCAGGGTAGTGCTGTACTGAAGCCAATGAGTAGCTTTAAATCAGTGAATAGCAGTGGCCCTCTCTATTCTTCTGGGCCATTGCCACTGCCTCCTAGTGGTACATTCAGTGGAACATTGAGAAACTTTTCCTACGAAGAAATTCTATCCGCTTGCCGTAATTTCTCTTCAGATCGATGTGTATCTGAAGGTCTTTCATCCATAATGTTCAGAGCTTCCTTTGGGGATGATGCTTCAAGTTTGAAGAAGTTTGAAGCTAGTGTTACTCGCCTTAATTCATCCCCTCAGGTAATGTATGAATTGACAATTTATCAATGCACAGCCACATAAGAGCTTTCTTTTAGATTCTCCAGTTGACAACAGCTGATAGATGGGACTCTGAGTACTCCTTAAATTTCGGATCAATGTTCTTAATTTGCCTTGTACATCTAGAAATTTGCCCATCTATCGGTAAACTAAGTGCTTAATTCATCCATTTGGCACTCCCTTGTCTTCATTCTTCTTCAAAATATTATGCTGAGGGTTGTCTCTCTCTTACGGTAGGGAAATTGTCAAGTGCTTAGGCTGTTATGCTTTTTTTCCCTGGACAAGCATAAACTCCTATTAGTGAGCTGCCTAGTAGAAAAACGGATGTATGTGGTTTAACTTTGCTCCCTGAAGAAATGATGAAGGAATGTGTGCATGAGTGTAACTGGAGAGAGAAGAATTATGTCAATCTTTTACTAAGGATATGAATTGTAATTTTCCAAAAGATGAGGGTGCTTCATGTAACCATAGGGTAAACATCTTATCATAGTCATGGATGCTTGACTTGATGATTAGCGTTATTGCTTGTAACTTTTGCACTTCAGAAGATATATGGAATATGTCTATTGTTTGCCGGTGCTTTTCAAACACTTGTGGAGTGTGTTGATATTTTGCAATGAAACTCATTGTGTATTTGATCTTCCAGGGTTTAAAAGAATTTATAAACGAGGTTAATACCCTTGCATCTTTGCAACATCCAAACTTATGCAAATTGCTTGGTTATCATGCACGTGATGGCTCAGACCAGAGAATGCTGGTCTATGAGAGGCTTTATCATGGAAGCTTGGACCGGCTACTGTATGGAAGATCTGATGGGCCTCCCATTGATTGGAATACCAGGATGAAAATTGCTTTATGTGCTGCACAAGGTCTTGCTTTCTTGCATGAAGAAGGGCCTTTCCAGGTAAAAATTGCTGCGTTGATCCATACAAAGTGAACAATGAAACAATGCATGTTATCATGTATAGCTCACAATTTATTCCGGACTTCCCTAAGGATGAAACATTAGCGTTTTTTTCCTTTTGTACTAGTTATTTTTTAATTTATGGAAATCTGTCCAATATATGCTTTGTGAATGTTAAGAGACAATTGAAATAAATCCTCTGTTTGTTGCTAATTTTTTTTTTTTTTCCTGAAGGAAAATATGTGAGAGACTGCATAGTGTTCAAGACTTTTTAGTTTTCCATGACTTCTATGTTTGCTGAAGCTATCCTTCTATTTGCAGGCAATGTACAACGAGTTCTCTACTGCCAACATACAAATTGACAAAGACTTTAGTGCAAAGCTTTCAGGATATGGTTGTGTTGGCCATATTCCTGAAACAGAGATCTCTACCAGTTTAGTGGTGAGCTCATTGACCTTGACTGCTGATATTTCTTCCTGTTTTGCATAAACCAGTAGCAGTTTGCTTTTACCTCCATGCTTTGGCTTGGGGGTGAGATGACTTACATATAAATTTGGAGTTGATCTTTTTCATTCTATTCACTTATACAGGCTGCAGCAAATCTCTCAGTAGAGACAGTAGAGAGAGGGCTATTGACTCCAAAGAGCAACGTATGGAGCTTTGCAATTGTCCTTCTTGAGCTACTCACTGGCCGGAAGAATCTTGATAGCCGTCATCCTAGAGAAGAGAGGAACTTGGTTAAGTGGACCCGACCTTTTCTAGCCGATGATTGCCGACTATCACTGATTATGGATCCTCAACTAAAATGCCGTTTCCCAGCAAAAGCAGCCCGGACATTAGCTGACATTGCTTTAAGATGTCTTCAGAAGGATCCATTGGAAAGACCAACCATGCGAACCATTGTAGAGCATCTCAAAGTCATACAGGACATGAAATACTCCAGTCGCTTTCCTCTGCAAGAGCCAGCTGCAGTTGCTGGAAAACAAATGTCCAGGTCACCTAGCCTTAATGGGATCGTTACCCCAGCGCCCAGGTTAAGTTTCTCACCGTCCCCACCGTCAAGAGCCCGGCCATCCATTTCACCGACTAGGCCTCGTGCTTTGCCGCAGTCTCTTCCCCCTCGTGCCTGTTCTTCAACTCTCTCTCTAGAGGAACTGGAACGGCAAGAAAGCAGGAAATCATCATCATCAGCTGTTCGAAGGCCAAGTGTTGAAGGATTTTGATTGTTAATATATGCATTTTTTCATTTTTTGACTGGCTTTTTTTCCTTTTCGGTGATTCAACAGAATATATAGAAAGATAAAGATGTGGTTCTTCCACCTTCCCATCCCTCAAGATGTTGAAATAGAGCGGATGCTAGTTTGTAGATAGAGTGCAAACCCTAGTTCGACTGGATTCAATTAGGTTCATTGTAATCAACAATGCCATTTACATGAATAGCGTTCCAAACACCCATGCTACATAATTGTCCATGCTCTTTTTTTGTCAGTTTGTTGCACGTTATTGCTTGAGTGCTCTTCTAAGGTTTGAATGAAAGAGCCAACTCCACTCCTAAATTTTTAACCATGATATTCAAGGGTCAATGGCGATGCTGAATGCTGTGAACGTCTACTAGGGAATGCAATCCCACATGGTGAAACTAGATGTTTATCTTACAAGATATGAAGCAAACTAGTGGATAAGAGATGAAAAGATTTTACGAGATGAGAATTGTTGGAGATACAGAAGGGAAAAAGAAATTTCAAACCAGACTTTTGTATCTGTATCTCTTTGCTTCCTCGACAACAACTGATTTCGTACAGATTATTGTATATGTGGCCATAACATAAGGCCCCCTCCCAATTTCTAAATGAGAAGGAAAAGAAAGAGAAAAAAAACCGTGTTCGTATTATACACAATATATAATGAATAAAGACCCTCAAAAAGAAACCAAAAATATTGCTCGTCTCACAGGGGAAAAAAGACTAGGAATTTGTAATTAACGAAAATAAACGAAAAAGTTACATTATACAGGGTCATTTTGGCTTTGTTCTGGTCCAGGTTCTTCATTCTCTTCACCTCCGCTCTCCTGCTCTTGACCAGCTGAAGCAGGTTTACAATCCTCGTTAATTTTCGCTTCATTTTCCCCGGTTTGGGCTGGCACATTTGATGCTGAGCTTGCTTGTTGCTCAGATAAACTTGCAAGACCATTCCGCTTCAAATACGTGTCCAACGGAAGGCTCGCTACTTGAAGAAGACTCGTCATGCTTATTCTGGTTAGTCCTGCTTGTGAGTCTTCTTCACGATCAGGATGGCAGTTTAAATCTAGATGTCCCTTGCCCGAGTCAGCCAATTTGTTTGACAGATTATTGCTTTGGCTTTTGGATTCTAACTCATTCCCTGACCTGGCTTCGTTATCCGAAGGATCTACAGGCGTCGATGCAAGCTTAGAGTTACTCTCTACTTCTGCTTCATCTTTGGGACCCGCCATTTGCTGAGTCCTCTGGGCAATTTCTGCTTCGCGCTCTGACTGACGCTTCTTTTTGCGCATCATTAAAGTTTTAAAACGGCGTTTAACTGTCATGCAGACATTACATGTGCATGTAGGCTTGTGCTTCCCCTTCCCACTTGGGGGCTGGATACACACAATGCATGAGCAGCCAGGACGATGTCTAGGGTGTTTTGTTGTGGTTGCAACAATAGTAGTGCTTTGCTCCCCCACATCCCCAAGGATTGCAGCATTGGCCAGAGCATCCAGACCAGAAGATTCATGTTCCTGGGCTGGCTGATGGCTGTTTGTAATTCTCCGTTTCTTGAAATCTATGTAAAAATAATTAACGCCACTGTAATGTTAGTATAATTCTTTTGAATGCAAGGATAAAAAAACATCATGAATGATTACAGAAGTTTAAGCTGCAATGACCATGTATGCTACAATTAAATAATTATAGAAATAGGGTCCACTGAAGTAATCGATTTGATTGGTCTGGCCTACATTGATCGAGTTTATGCAACAATTTCTCTGTATGATACAGCTTAATTGCTTCGTTTTTCCATGTCAATGCAAAAGGTCGTGAATGATAACAGAAGTTTAAGCGGTAATGACCATGTATGCTTTCAATAAAAGGAGAAAAAGGGACAGTTTTAGGCATAATAATTCATACCCTTGTTCAGTCTTAGAAGATTTTCTAATTCCCTTGGGGCCAATTCATCTGGAGCAGAACATGAACACCTAAAGACACAGAATCACATAATAGTAAATTGAATCTGGTATTGGTTGCCGTAGACAAACAAATAAAGAAAGAAAGAAATCCGGCAATGACAAGGACATATCATTGACCTGCTTTGATCCCAAACATTGTCCACGCACATCCACTTAGGTGGAAGGAGGACATCAACCGGCAACCTTCGCCATTTGGAGCAGCTATCACACTGGGCCCATTGCTCTTGTCCCCTGACAACAGAGCATAGTATCTAATATTAGATGCATCTACCTAACCAAAACTAAAAGTAACGTCGAGTAAATTCCATCACAAATAACAGAAATATGCAATTTGAACCTAAGAAAACAAGGCCTGGCAAAAGGGAAGAGGTTATGATTCCTCAGGCAGAGGTCGATTTTGAGATAATTATAAACAATATAAAATGTGGTGACTACATCTTTTGATCCAACATCACGAATTTCTTTGTAAGCTAAAGCTGGAATAGCCAAAAGATGATATTCATCAACAAACTAGCACATCGTCCTTAATCATTTCATTTGTCAACTTGGATATTTGCAGGTAAATGATTCAGGACTATGCAGTTGATTAGTAATTTTTCATTCAGTGGTGTTAAGTCCTGTCATCTCTTGATTTTAAGTTCCAACTCTAAAAAATGACAGGTGTGAATTGCAAACGGAAAAGAAAATCATCATTGGAGATATGCAATTGAGTCTGACTTGGAACAGATTGATGATCATGATTAGGATTCATCTATCTTTAAATATGAACTCCGCTAAGAATTTCAAGACCTTAAGCCACAAGGTTAGTTCTTGCACCAGGACAGTTAGGTCGATCTGTGAGTGCATTACCCTCACATGATAAATAAAAAGACTAATGATATATCCGACAGTGATTCTTACCCAATAGAACGAACTATAAAGATACTCCTCTTCCCAAAAACTGGAGGTTCCTGCATGGTAAAACATGTATAATTATGAAATCAAGCTCATGGCTTTCTCAGCAATAAATTGCATAGTACATGCTGCAGGTGTCAAATATATGTTCCACAACAGTAAAGACTTTCAATAGAGAATGCCCTACAGCACGAATATGGCATATACTACTCATACCCGATATCAGAATCAATTGCCAAATATCCATGTCTCTGTAAAGCATATTATCTACATGTAACACTGTTGAAAATGCACCAGAGTATGGGCAATAAAGAAATTAATAGAATGTTAAATTAATTATTTGACAATATTTTTCATTCGAATGCAACCATGGTATGCATGTATTTGTACACATACATACAGACAAACACCAAAATCAATGCATATATAGATGTGGCTAAAAAATATAGCAACTATAATCTTCAGGGAGATTACTCACTTCATATTCTTCAAAATCATGATCCTCTATGGTGACAATGCTAGGCTTGACACTTGGTGCTGGGCGAAGCAAATCCTGTGCCTCTTCCCATGTAAGTTTGAGCTCCAAAGCATCTAGGCTATCAATTAGTAGCCTCTTACTTTTAGACCCAATATTTCGCATTCTTTTTCTCTCAGGAACCAACAATGATGGTAGCAGCAAGCCATCCCTCGTCCTGTCTTCTTGCTTCTCAGATTTATGCCAGCTCATATCACCACTAGCTGAATGCAAATGTTTCGACAATGCACTTAAGTGTGTATCTGTGTTTCCCTTTAGTGACTGAAGAAGGCCAGAGTAACCACTTATTATAGGCAGGTTCTCAAAAACACCAGAAAAGTAACTTTCACTTGAAGGAACACCATTAGGAATGGCAGCTGGTTGGGTATCCTGTTTATTTAATAACTTATGCATTAATATTATACGTTCAAGTTTGCTAACATAAGAACTGACTCTGGTTTTTACCTGCATTGCTATAGAGTTTGATGCTTTTCTAAACCCCATCACAAGTTTTCCTTCTGGATCCATACGGCTAAATGTTACTGCAATAGAAAATGATAAACTATGTAAGTGTGACAGTAAATACGCCACTATCTTCCATGAAGCTATCTACAGTTAAGATTTTACATCAAACTTAAATTGTAATTGGTTAAAGTAAAGATGTTTAGGGCAGTAATAACATAACAAATATCGCATGGAAAGATCTCTTTCTGAAAAGTTCTCAAGTACGGATTATAATACAAAAACTATTGAGGTGTTGTCTACTTTGTTCTACAAAAATACGGAAGCTATAAAAAAACAACATAAATATTTTGAAATAAGGACAACATTCCCAAAAATCTATAGTTTCTGGAAGCTAAAATGCTATACCAAGACATAGTGCATGATGAGAAACAAAGACAACTGGATAGAACAGAAGAAATATGCTTTTATCTAGCACATATTATATTTGCAAATTTTCAGAAAAAAAGTAGGGGTTAAAAGATACCAGTATCTCCAGCTTGCAATTTCATGGACTGTATGCATGGAGTTACACCCTCCAAGACGTACATCCTGCTGTTATTATTAGGCCAAAACCTGAACTGAAATACCCACTCTTTACCCTTAACATCTTGAATCCGTAGAGGAAGACCCTCAGGTTGAGAGATGGGAGGAAAATAAGCCTGCACATTGATTCAATTTCAACTTATATACAGCAAGCTTATCAGCAAAATGACTGCTTAGGTGCAAATATTATGAACCATCAAATATCATGGCAAAGCTAGAACAAGACTACACAAACTTACTTCAGCACATGCTTTAGGGAGAACCAAACGACCAATGCGACCAGCATCACTCGCACTGAGAACCTTTTCAAACAATGGGACAATGGTGGAATTTGGACTTGAAGATAACATGGTTAAGGATATCACAGTCAAGTTATCAGAAAAACTTGAAAATCATAAAACCATAAGCAAAAATGCATGATTCAGCAGGAAAAGAAAATTATAAATTTGATATTGGAACGACAGAATGATGGATACTCTCCAGATATTTGCTGCAATTCTTGATCTGTAATCCTAGGCCAATAACGAGGAAGCAACTGATTCCTTCCCCGTCCTTCAGCAGGTGGCCTAGCAACACGTATCTGTGAGACCATGCCCACATTTGCATCCATAGAAAGGGCTGACTTTGGAGGCTTTGGCAATAGATGGCGAGACCTGGGTCCTTGTTGGAGCGGAGAGGATGCCTTACTCGGTACCCTTTCATCAACAACACCTCCAGGAAAGGGATTTGGGTTTCCTAAAGAAGAACCCAGACTCATACTCAAGTTTGTTTGCGCTAGTGATTCATATAAATCTTTTGCTGCAGCAAATGATCTATGAATCTCTGGCTTAGCAGCTTGACATGATGCATTGGATGCTTGGTTAAAATTTGAAAAACTTGTGCATGCAATTTCTCCCAAAGGAGGTAGTATATCCTCCTGTTTCATTTTCCGGTAAGACCCATTTGTCTCATCACTCTGTAACTGAAGCAAATTCCTCGTCCCAATGCCATCAATACAATTACCTAACTGCATAAGCTTTGTTTCAGTTGCCAACTGGTTGTCAGCAGAAGCAGATTGCAGTTCCCCAACGTTTTCAACTTTTGACATACCAAATCCATTAGGTTTTTCATCACCATTCACCTGTATAAAAATATAATTTCATTACACTCAAAATACCCATATTCTACCAGTGAGAACTGCAGGGCTAGAAATCAAGCATTGTCTACCAATAGTCAAAACATGAAGGAAGAACCATTTGCGGGGCATAACCTAGTATATTGTGCCATATATGAACATAAAAAAATGTAGACCCAAATGAGCAGTATCTTGACCACTAGATAGTTACTTCTTTTAACAAAGAAATCTCTCTTGCCTTGATGACCCTGTAGTTTTTATAATCCAGAGATGCATGCAGATGACAGGAATCAACAGACCACAAGTAAACGATACTGGAGCCACTAAAAATACCATGCATTAAACATCCTATGTCTTTTCTGAGCATATTTAAACATAATGCAGAATAGTTCTTGCACAAGCAAGAAGGGGTGTGTAGGCCATAAAACAATGTATGAGTACCTTAGTTTAACCAATGAACAAGGTAAAGATAGAACAGAAAATCCTCTTTACAAAAGATGTCTAAATGATAGAAAAGATGATCATATGCATATGAAAATTAATCTTACAGAAGTAACTCTTGCACTTCTGGAACAGCTTGTACAGTTCACACCGCCACCATCAAGTAGCTCAAGCAGAGACTTGGAAGCAATGCATCCGCAATGGAGACGCTGCCAATGTCAAATTCAGTTAGATTTATGCAAGGAATTCCTATGATCAAGGCTATGAAAGAAACAAACCATGGACTTACCTTGCTGCAGGAAGTGCACTCCCTCCACCCAGAATCCTTCGAGTGGAAAACTTCACAAAAAATTGATTGCTCATATGCAGACCTATAGCAAACATGAATCCTCAATTATAACTATGGATTAAAATCCTTTTTTTTTTTACTATCATACAATTCTTTTTATATAAAAAAAGAGTAAAAAGAAGAAGAAATAATTCATCAGTCCTTTCAGTACCATTAGGACAACCTTTTGTATAGTTAGGCTCCTAATTTTAAGGAATTCCTCCTTAATTTCTGAGCTTACAAATCCATATAATTTTAATGCATTTGTACAATTTGACGTTACAATTTTAACAGAAAATTGGGAGGAAAACATTAGCTCCATGAATTTAATTCCAAAAGAAGCCTTTTCCACACATCTAATTTCATTAAAAAAAAATTAATTGAAATCAACTGAATTTGAAATGATGGCACACCATATTAAAAACAAAAGTCAAAATAATGAGCAAAAAAAATGCCACTGTGAAATATTCACATCATCACATGACAAAAAATCCAAAAATTGGACCCGAAAATAAATAGTAAATAAATAAAAACGTTTAACCCCTAACAAAATATAAATATCCAAACATTCTAATTAAAAAATAAAACTATAAATACCAAAGAATTAAGATAAAATTACCCGCAGTTATCGCAGAGAATGGCAAAATCACCAGATCGCAGTGCCCAACCTTTTCTCCACCCGCCAGAACTTGACGTCGAGACTCCACATGTTGCATTCATGCAACTCTTAATCGACGACGACGACGCCATTTTTAGTTTAATTTAATTAATCTACAGAATTAATAAAATTAACACAAAATCAAATCTCCGAAAATTAAAATTAAATCCCTAGCAATTAGTCACGTCTAGTTAGTTTTACTTTTAATTCAACTTGTTAATAACACAAACACAAAATATTACCAAAAAAAAAGAAGAAGAAAAAACCGAACCTCGTATTAAGACAGAAGACAAATACTAGAGCTAGTTCATGAGTTATGTCTGTTGACTGTCATAAAGAGACGACGACGACTTGTTGTTTGGAAGTTGAAGTAGTACTGTATAATATTGATCGAATTCGTGGTGATTAAGATGGTAAATTAAGTGCGTGGATCAGGTGACAAGTCGGTAACCGGTGACCGGAGGAAGGGATTGACGACGGAGGTTTTAATTTTTTTGGGAGAGAGAAGAAGAACATGTGCATGCAAAGTAACAAAAACAACAGTGAAGAAGAGAGAGAGAAAGAGTTTGGTAGTTTGGAAAACAAAAAACAATGCATGCATTGCACGATGATATTCCTTCAAGACTCGGCGAACTCGCCCACCCTATTATTATTATTTTTTTCCCTTCTTTTTCCCTACTTAGCCCTCTTGTTTTTTGCATATTAATTCTACTTTTTTCTAATTACGGCTGCTATTTTTCTTTTTCTTTTTTTTAGAATTCCTCAATACTAATTTGAAAGCAATTAATTAGTGTAAAACTCTTGTAGTCATGATATGGATTATTGATTACTTTTGATTGGACAAAAAAAGTGAGATTAATTTCAATATGCTTAAATTATCCAGTTATATCACCTAATTAACCATACAACAAAGCAAATATTACAAACATAGTTAATGGTGGTTGCTAGGTATTATTAGAAATTTAATATTTGCGTTGGAAATTATTCATAGAATCTATTATTTTCTATTTATTATTTAATATGCTTCATTTTAATATGAATTATTTATATTTAAATAATTATTTCATCATAATCATGCGTGCATTTTTATATAGTTTAAAGTATGATGCAATCTATTTATATGGTACGCGCAAATAATGGGCAAAGAATCGCAGGATTGTAAGACTATTAATTTAATAGCATTGTTTATATTATTTTAATTATGATAACGATTATGATCCTAATAGAAATCAGATGATACGCTGTAATTACAAATTTAAATAATTAAACATGAAAATGTTATTTGAAATCACATTAAATTATGGTTTAAATTCCAAATAAAATTGTGAGAATGAACTTCTCGTAAATTTTTTTAATTTTTGTATTGAGAATTTTTTTAATCAAATTAGAAAAAATCTATATACATTAAAGTTGATTCGAAAATAGATTTTCAAATACATTTATCGAGCGAAAATCTTATGAACAAATTAATTTTTAACTATTGATATCAAATTTCATTAGTGTGTTTACAACTAAAACCATTTCAAACACCTAAACTATATCTAATTTTAGATGAACTAAAAAAATACTGAAAATTTATTTCAAATTTTGGTTAATGAAAGTCTTTTATATATTTATGTGGGCATTTGTACATCATCATGGTATCACAAACCAAAAACATTTATGGATTGATTTTTTTTTCAATAAACCATTAATACTTGCAACACTATAAACTAAAAATAAATTAAAAATAAATTTTCATTGTACATGATTGCATATTCACTGGATATGTTTGTTAAAATAAAAGCAGGCGAAGGGCATTAAAAAAATATTAAACAAAATTATTAAGGAGCTGAAAAAACAAAAAGAGTAAGAAATACGGCGGCAGCACAGCACCGTAAAGTGCGCCACTAGTCGCTTTTTTATCCAATAGCATATTTCGCATGCAAGAAGCATATATCAATGAAATTACCAAAATCTTCTAAAAGACTTATGTTTTCTACGAACCCATGCCATTATAACTGTCCCACAGCGACCAACTGAATTCTGCCAACTGTCAACGACCATTATTATTCAGTCGTTGATTTTTTTCTTTTTTAGAAAAGATATTTATGACGGCATATCTGTGAGGTGATGATGTTAGAGGACCTGGAAGTGCGGGGTCACCTACCACGCTGATAGAGAAACGCTAACCCACGCGCCTGAAGACATGACCAGTCACGTCTGACACTGACCGTACTCGTGGGTGCACGCGTGTCCATTGCGCCTGGAAACAATATTATTATTTTTATTCTTGATCCTCTTCGTCGTCGTCGTGAAACAGATGAGCCTTGGTTCGGACAAGGGGGATCTGCTGTCGTAAAAAGAGAATGTTTTGGCTAAAAAATGAATGTATCGTAATTTGTGATCATACGAGGTAAGCAGCAACCACATGAATTATCAGCTTGTGATTCTGCCCAATGATATCTCTCATTTGCATGACTTTCGGAAAATTCAAGTGGGCTCATTATTTGCAATGCAATAAGCTATTATAATTTAAGTGTTTTTGGCGGTGAGTCATTGCTAAAAACAAAGAATTTAGTTATCCCTGGACCTAATTCAGTTGGATTAAATCCCAAGTAGATGATGGTTCACCTTTAGATTGATATATTAATAAAGAGAATTCTTCTTTGATAGTTTTACTAAAATTTGAATACTAAATCATGGTTTTAGTAAATGTACGAATCTATCTTGTATATAAGCATTTTAATAAATGTTTTATCTCTATACTAATAGAGATTAGCTCGTGTTTAACTCTTTTGCTCAACCATAAAAAAAAAAAACATATAAAATCATGTGAGTCTAACCACAATCATCATTATTGGAGAGACCTACATTGAGAAATAACTTAGGCTTGTACATAGACATATATTTATAAGGGTTTATATATAAAAATCAATTTCATTTGAATCAAAATGCATAGACTAATGGGTTATAGATCATTTTATATATAACTATCTAAAACTTTTTATTTCTAATTGATGTGAGATTCTATACTCACACATAAAATTCAACAAGATAAATCCATTTTATTTCTCATATCAAATCTTAAAAACAAAACGATTTGAAAAATATTAAATTGTTTAGTCTTTTCAAATCTTAGTTTTACTTCTCGTATTATATGTGGTTCAATGAGAAAATCTTGAGGTTTCGATTGAATTTTATAGTTTTGAAAAAAGTAATTGATTTTTTATATTTAAATGTAGAAAAATGTTAGTACATCCTTTGATTTTGTTAAAAATATCCATTAAAACTAGTTTATGCAAATTGGATGAGATTTTAGTAAAGTTGATGGTGAATTTGGCTCGTTTTGAAAGAAAGGATTGTGAAGAGATAAAGACGACACAATAAATAAAGAAACAAGAGGTAATAACAAAAGCGCCTTTAGATTCTCTAAAGATGCATGATGAGAGATTATATATTGACGTTCGGTTAGAAAGGAGAAAGTAGTGCTAATTGTGTTAAAGGGAGGAAGATAATCAAATTCCAAGTGATTAAGGCTAATTCAAAGTTATTGAAGAGAAGTTTAGTGGTATTATTTCAAAAAAAAATAGATTATGGTTGTTTACAATCGGATTTGGAAAAGAGTGGCTTAGGCCCTTCCTAATTGTGATTCCTAAGGAGGATGCAAGCTTTGATTACTTTTGAATCAATAGACTCGATGCTTTTGTGTTTAAAGGATGTCAATTATGCTCTAATGTTATTTTTGAAGATATCGGGACATAGAATGTATTTGATACATCATGGAATCGATTATGTTGGATTGAAATAACAAGCTTACTTTTAGTTGATTGGAATAAGAACTATATAAATATGTTGCTAAATGATCATGGATGAGTGATTGGTTTTGATAAGAACACGACTCATGTATTGAATTTTTTGACAACAAGAGTTCTTATTTTAACAGATTTTAGAAATAGATTGATTGAAGATGTGAATTTGGTGATTGATGGAAAGGAATATTGTAATGGTATTCATGAAAGAGTGGTTTTAGAACTTTCGGATTTTAATTCTTTATATTTCTCCATAACAATTATAGGAGTTTTGGAGGAAGAAGATAATGATGTGGAAGCTCGAGTTAGATGTAGCTAATGTGGATAGATTGGATGATATGGCAATCATGATTAAGGATTCATTCGTAAGATTAGAAGAAAGTTATAAGGGATCTATTAGTAATGACTTGGTGGATTTCAAATTTCAATTTCCCGACATTAATAATTTCAAAACAAATAGCATATCCTTGAATTTAAATTATAGAGAATTTAATTTAGGTGGAGTGATTCTCAAGGATAGCATTTTATTAGGTTGTAAAGATGGGCTTCAAAAAGATGTGCTTTGGAAAGTTGAGCTACCTACAATATATGGTTTTAAGAGAGTTGGGCTCACTTATGACATGGATACAACTTATAGGTTTAAAGAAGATAGACTCTTAGGTTTGTAGAAATGGAGAAAATACTTAAATTTGACCTCTCAAAGATGACAAAATAGAAAAAGAAATCAAATTTAGCAATTGTTCCTACCTCTCTTGGTTTTATGTATAAATGGGAAAAACTTAAGCTCAAGATTGTTGCTTTATGAGGAAGTGTGGTAGAAGCTGATGGGGAAATTAGTGAAGGCTCTATAGACTTTGTTATTACAACATCCAATAGAAAAATTATAAGAAATGTTCTTGTGATTGAACATAATGGTGTAAGAAGTACAGAGACTAAATTAGCCATGATTTTACATATGAGGAAAGGATTGAGTATATACATCCGACTCTAAGATGAAAGAAGTTAAAGAACGGTAAATATTTTCTTATTTTATGAATATATTTTCTAAGAATTATAGAGATATATGTAATTCTTACAAGTTAAGTTAGTCCAAGATAATATTAATCTTCATCAAGTTAATATTATTTTTTTGCTAGAAATAAAGGTCTTAGGTTACAAGGATACTTTGATTAAAAGTATATTGAATAGGCATGATATTAGATGGAAAAGAATTATATTTGATGGAAGATGGGAAGGAATCTTAGTATTCTAAAATAATAACTTTTTTCGAGTGGATAAAGTTAAGTTTAGCAATCAATGGATTGCCCTTTTTTTGTTGTTATATTCCTTCAACCTTTGATTGTGTTATAGCTTGTGTTTATGGTTATTGTAAGGCTTCTAAGAAGTGTAACATATGGAAAGAGTTGAAAATCATGTGTTTTTCTTTTAATTGATGCGGAAGCATCCTCCTTCTTAAGTAATCGAAAGTTTGGCACTCCATATTGGCCGAAACTTTCAACCTCCTATTCTTTTATTTTATTGTTCATTTAGTTATCTTTTATTTATTTGGGATATTATTATTTATGTGGGTTAATTTTAATTGTAAAGACTTGAGCTAAATTAATTATTTCTCATAAGTTATGAATTAGGATATGGTTAAATATGACATAAGTGGATGAATGATCTTTATGTGTTGTGGATCCTTATTTTTTAGAAATTTTTTATTTATTTTGAGTCTATGTAATATATGGATTCAGATTTAATTAGACCAAATGAATAAAGTTTTAATTGAATATAGATTGCATAAATTCAAGTCTAGTTAGGAAAAGAGTCCATTCGACAAAGAACGAAAGTTCAAGCTAACCAACTTTATTTTAGGATCTTTTTGTGTGAGTATTTAAGCACGCTTTGTGCTTCTTTTTTTAGTTAGAATTTGATAAATATTTGAATAAAAATTAAGATTTTTTCTCTATAACTTTTTCATATATCCTCTACTTGGATTGGTTAGGACATCGTAAACGCATCCTTAGAGTGATCGACTAAGGTGAGCTTAGATCAACAATTGAGTTAGGTGGAATCTTGATGAACATATTTCGTAAGTACTCTCTAAATCAATTGGAGTATATTTTTCTTTTCAAGGATGAGATATTAGGGCTTGCTTTTATCTTTATGTTTTCTTGATTAATTACCGGTGGATTACGGTTCCAAGACTAAATAAATTCGATCATAAAGCTGATAAATAAAACTAGGGATTTTAGTTTTATCCAAAATTTTGATAGTAATTATTGAAGGGGTTGATTAGCTCTTGTAAAAAAAATTTAGAAAATTTAAAACATATTTATGTGTGTTTTTGAGTTGTGAAAGTTGATGTAAATTTTGAAACCTATTTAGTCCAAAATTTTGATTTGATGAAAAAAGGGGTTAAAGGGGTTAGATTGATCTAAAATTTGACACATATATATGTTTGAGTAGTATCTAGGTTTTGTAAGGGTTTTAATTTAACTTGAGTTGATTTTTTTGAAGATCGCACCTACCATGGGTTCGGATTTGATGATTGTTTATTTGGTGATTATGTGATTTTGATTTGTGTTTATATTGAGAATCTTATTGATTATGATTTGGGATATTGATTGAGTATTATTGAGGTCTATTTGGAGTTATTTTGAGGTTGTTTATATCTTGGGTGCTTTAGCCTAGGGCTATTCGATTGTTGATTTTTTGTTTGAGCTTTTCATAAGATTTAACATCTCTCAATCTAGCCTCATTTTGGTATCAAAGTTGAGGTTTTCTTTCTTTAAATATTTGGCTAATTTTAGAGATGGTTGTTAAAAGATTTTTGAGTATGGGAATGGTTTCCAAAAAGATCGGGTGAGGCATAATATTTTTCACACCCATTGTACGTCACATGGAAAGGTGTGTGAATTGATCATCAACGAAGGTAAGCTGTGAGAATGTTATAGCTTTCCAAATGGTGAAGAAGCTCATCCTAAGCCCTATTCATTGACATGGTTACAAAAGAAAACGAGATTCATGTGTCAAATAGATGTTTAGTGTCGTTCTTCATTGGTAAGACCTATGTTGACGAGGTTTGGCATGATGTGGTGTTAATAGATGCTTATCATTTGTTGTTAGGAAGGCCTTGGCAATATGATTATAGAGTTATGCATGATTGCTTATGGAACACTTATACTTTTACCTTAAATAGAGCAAAGATCTTGCTATCGCCTACAAAGAAAGAGGTAATGTCAATTTATATTAGTATACAAAAGGAGGTTATGACTAAATCTATGTTCATGAAATTAATAAAGGAGTTGAATCTAGCTTGTGTGTTTATGGTCATGGAGGAGAATGAGGAGCAAAACATTATCCTTAAGTGGTGTCAAACTCGTTGTTGGCATAATTTACGAATGCGGTTGCGAAGAGATTCCTAGAAGGTTACCTCATATGCATGACATATAAACATGCTATTGACTTTGTGCTAGGATTATTTAGTTCACATCAACCTATATATCGTATAAATTCATAAGAGTATAGGGAACTACATAAGTAAGTTGTAAAATTGGTATAGAAAGGACTCATAAAAGAGAGTGTAAGTCCATGTGCGAGTGCTAGCGTTGTTGGTACCAAAGAAAAATAGGACATGAAGGATGTGTATTGACGGTTAAGCTATTAACAAGATCACAATTAAGTATCAATTTTCTATACCGAGACGTGATGATCTACTTGTTCAATTGTATGGTTTCATAATCTTTATAAAGATTGATTTAGGAAATAGCTATCACCAAATTCGGACGAGACCCGAAGATGAATGAAGACTACTTTTAAGACACGTGATGGACTTTATGAATAGATGGTTATTTCGTTTAGGTTGTCCAATACCCCTAGCACTTTCATGAGATTAATGAATCAAATGTTTAAGCCATTCATTAGTAAATTTGTCATGGTGTACTCGATGACATTTGGATCTATAATCGTGAAATTGAGAAGCACTTTGGGCATCTAAGAAAAGTAATAAAAGTATTGAGGAAGTAAAAACTTTATATAAATATTAAAAAAATGTCATTTTTATATGGATAAGGTTATATTTTTTGGTTTTATTATTTCAAAGAATGGCATCAAAATGGACAAGAGCAAGATTGAGGCCATTCTTTATTGGTCGATACCAAAGATTGTGATTATTGCTCCTATTACTAAGTTGTTAAAGAAGGGGAAGTGTGAGTGGACACTAAAGGCTCAAAAAAGATATAAAGCTTTAAAGAACAAAGTGATAAAAGCTTCAGCTTTAGCACTCGCTCGATTTCAATAAAGTTTTTAAAGTAGATTATAATGCTTTAAATGTGAGAATTGGGGTTGTCTTGAGTCGAAGGGCGACCAATTGCTTACTACAATAAAAAGATGAGTTCAAAAATCTTGGATATAGAGTAAAAAGATACGATTAAGACATTTAAAACAATTGAGAGATATCTTAAACTTTTAACCTATTAATTAAACAAGTGGGAAAGGGCTTATTTTACCTCGAGTTAGTGAAAAAATACATGCCACCATCTAAACTTGCATGGATGAGTTGGCTAGAGAGGTGTCACTATCTAAGATTTTTGGCCATTTCTTTATGTATGGCTTAGCACTATAAATAGGTGAAAGTTTGCTTTGGACAAGGTTTTGGCCATTTTGTTCTTGCTAAGGAAAAACATACGAAAGAGAGAGCTTGAGATAGAGCTAGCCAAAAGGGAGGAAGCTTTGAGCTATTGGTCAAAAGCTAGGACAAAGGGCAAGGTGAAGTTCTTGAGGGATCTTGAAGTTTTTCCTTCGTCTCTAACTTGTCCAAATAAGTGTAACTCTTACTTACATCATAAGACTTAATATCTATGAGTTCTATTGTTGAAGGATTATAAAAATCCCTATTAAATTATTGTGTTTTGGCTGAATTCTTGCCAAATTGATGGACAATTGCTTGATGCTTTGCTTTGAATGAATTGCTCTTAATTTACGTAAGCATAATGAGGCATGTTGCTTGGCTAGCTTGAATGAATTCTTGCCAAATTTATAGATAAATGCTTGGTGCTTATATTTTCGTAGTTTGTATGAGTTTTATCGAATTTATGGATAAATGCTTGGTACCTACATTTTTGTAGCTTATGTGAATTCTTGTCAAAGTGATGGATAATTGCTTTGTGCTTGGATTTACGTAACATTGTAGGATGAATTCGTGATGAGTTGATATTGAACTTCTTGAACTCATGATATGGTATTGACATTAGATTTCATAAACTTGTGTTTTAAGCAAGCAAAGAGGTTAAGTACATGTTCATAAAGAGGTCACTCGTAGGAATGATCTAGTGCATACCTAAGATTGACTCTCGACTAGACTATGTCTAATTTATGATGTTTTTATCAAGGTTTTAAAAGAAGGTCAAATCAAACATTCGACGAGGCATATCCGAAAGATAAAATAGATTTTTCATCACAAAAATATGTTTAATAAACTTATTTAAGGTTTCAACTTATTGATCCTTGGCTCATGGTTTGTGTCTTGTGGTATAGATAATCGTAAGAAGGCCTAAAGCATGCTTGTCGCATTGGAGGTGTTCGCTGGATGCATTTTTAAGTTTATCAAAAAGTGTAATATAGATATAGGTTTTAAGCTCGTAGTCTAGACATTGTTCATGTAATGTGTATTGCCTAATTTTGGTTTGTAAGAACGATGTATAAATAGCCTTTTTAGCCAAGACAATGTATGAACTAACCGATATTTTATGATAAAGCTTTATTTTGTAAAAACTTACATTGGCCTAATTTACGTTAAATGTTTTACGTGATAACATGTCGCTTTCATTGATGAAATATATTTGCATCACGACATGAAAATTTAGAATGACTTTTAATAAGTTGAACAAAATCTGCCACGAGTTTAATTATATGCCATTGAGCTTTAAAAATAAAAGATTTTTTTGTTATGCATTTCATGTCCCATACAAGTCTCATGTCATAAGGAGTAGTCGTGCATTCGACGAGTGTAGGACATGGTCGTTGAGCGCCTAGCCTAGCCTCTACCGGTCGAGGGTGTCATAGTCACGTCCAACACTCCATGAATATTTGACGCTGTCGTAGCACTTGTAGCCTTCACGTTTAGGCCTCGAGCGCTACGGGTGGGGTGCTTAGGGATCATGAAGGAAAGTTCTTATGTATCTTTTCATTTCAACTAATATTTAGGATTTCAATGAAGGTGAGGTTCTAACTATGAATAAAGTTTTGGAGATAAGTTCATCTCGGCATCTTTCTTGTGAGATGAAATGGATCGTAGAAACTAATTCAGCAAATGCAATATTTTGGGTTCATTAAAATATTAATAAGGAGCCATGCGAAATGCATAATGTTTTTATGAGCATTGATTCTTGTATTTATAATTTGAAGTCAATTAGTTTTAGTAGAGTAATAGAGATTGTAATATGATTGTTGATAGTTTGGCTAAGCAACGAATGGTTGGACAAGAAGATTATTTTACTTGGATATAGTCCTATTATTTTTACTCTGTAATCTCTTTGTTGCCATCAACGAGATGACTCTCTTTATAATCTAAATCGATTTAAAAAATATATATATATATATGGTAACTAATTGGATGGAGGGATTAATTCTATCTCAACATTCAACTTTTGAAAAAAAAAATTAAAGAGATTTGTTGGAATTATAAAGTTTATTGGGAGAGAAATTGACATTATAGAGATTTTTTAAATATGTCATTAAACTCGTTATTATACATGCAAATATGCAATATTGCTTTGTTAAAAAAAGTTGTATCGCATCTAGGTGAAAAGTATATTTTTAATATAGCCTACAGAAAAAAATATAATTTTTATTAATATATAAACAAACTGATTTGAAAATATCTTTTATCATAAAAATTGAAAAAAAAAAAGGAAAAGAAGAAGAAGCAGCAGCAGCTTGTAAGATCATTAATTCCAAGCGTGCAACTCATGATGGTAGCACTCATTTGGATCCATTGCTAACGTGTCCCAACTTCCGTCAGATCATTTTTGTCAAATAAGAAGACCATGGTGCATGTAGTCATATCATAACCCCTCGATTGTCTATGGATTTGGCCGTGGGCACAATATTTCATACATGAAAACGTGCCATCTTGTCACGCATTCTCTATTGGCTTGGACCACCAAGAGTCAGAGATATACATTCGATGTATGAATCGATGGATGCTATTGCTTTTATATATCCTATAATTTGCATGCAAATCATTGGATACATTCTCCACTTTTTTTTTTTTTTGGCAAGCGTCGTTTAATCCATGTCGTGGATCTATAATCGAATCGAATGTTCTCTAGTTTTTTTCGTTCGAAAGCAATGCTTTCCTCAGTAGTTGACATGCACATCAAGCTAGTATTTCACTAGCTTATTATTGTGCATTTCTAGTATTTGCAATTTGAGGTATTTTGTATAATTTTGTGATGAAAGGTACCAAATTAGTTTTTTTTTTGTTTTTTGTTTTTTATATATTTCTCGTTTCATCATATACTAAATAGACAACGAAATAAAAATAATGAATGTAATATTTATTTTCAACTCAAGACTTTTCTTTTTTGCAAAATTAAGTCACACTTTAAATTAGAAGGAAGGTTACTCTTTTTGGACAATCTAGCATTTTTTTTAAAAAAAAAAACTTAAAACAACTTAGCTATATCGATAAGTTTGTTCTTGTTTTTTGAGAAAATAAAGAAAAACGGGGAGTGGTTTTTGATTCGCACGCCATGAGTTACATGAAAAATCTTCATTATTCTTATTATACATAAATTTTGCGTTTAGATTTTATTATTTTTAAATTTCATGGCAAACCAATGATATGTGGTTATTATTATTATTTGATATTCATAGATAATGAAACATCAATTAATGATATGTTATGTCATTTATATATAGCTAAAATCATATGTCGGTATGCTTGATAAATGATAATTTATTTCATAGGCTTAAATAAAAATATTTAACACTATATATATATATATATATATATATATATATTCACACTAAAATTAATATTATAAATTAAAAGACATTATTGATATTAAAAAAAAAACTCTAAATTCATTACAAAATATAAGCTATTAGTAAGAGAAAGGACCACAATAGTTGATGTATTCAATCATTTCTCCAGTTCAGGATTGAGGTTGCAAGTAGGAGGAGTGAGTAGTATTTCTCTATTCGTATAAAAACACGAGATCCACCATGATAACTTCCATTAAATACTATTATTACTTGAGTGAAGATATTGGTCTCCACAATGGGTCCATTTGAGGCTAGATTTCAATGGGCCCTCGAGAAAGATGCGGATAAACATGCTTGAGCCCATTCGCACAAAGATCACGCAATGGCCCAATCCAAGTTCAGACCTTCTTGCCTTATCCATCTGCTCCTCTCTAGCTCTCTGTATGTTTCTACTGGAGGGAATGGAATAGATTTTTTTTTTTTTTGAAAAAAAAAGGAACTCCTCCAAAACCGAACACTCCATTTCATCTCTCCTCTTTCCAAACTAGAAATAACTGCCATTACCATGGCGCGAACTACAACTGCCACTCTTTCTTCTCCTTATTGCATCTTCCGCCGTTCATCCTTTTTATCTAAGCCGTCCATTCTTCCAATGCGCATTTTACCCAAAACACCCTCGCGCCCCACTTTCCCGAGTAATGCTCTCCTCTCAATTCTCTCTCTTTTCTCTACTGTGGAGTACTATAAAATTCGACGATGACAACGTTGTTGTTGTTGCAGGGATTTATGCTTTGACTAGTAATGATATTAAAGTGGGCATCAACCTTGAAGTTGATGGTGCTCCTTGGCGAATACTAGGTAATTGATTTTATGTTTTCTTATTTTAATTTTGTTTTTGTTTCGGTTTTTTATATAACATTTGAATTATTATTTTTTATTGTTACATTTGGGATTGCTGTAGAGTTTCTACATGTAAAACCTGGAAAAGGGGCAGCATTTGTGAGGACCAAAATGCGTAATTATATTACAGGAAATACCGTCGAGAAAACTTTTCGTGCTGGAAGTACGGTAATTCATCATTCTTTCTGTTTTTAACTGAAATTAATTTACTTGTGTTTTTGTATTTGTGATACGTAATTGGTGTTTGATGAATTGTATACGAGGAAAGTTGAAAAGGGCAGCAATGTAGTTGTAATATTAATTATTACAGCATGCTGTAAAGGGTTGGTATTATTACAGGTTTCTTTGCGATTTTTCCGTCTTCCTGTTTTCAGTCCCAAACATTATAATTCATTTGATAGTTTTAGTCCAAAATATGTGCATGTTTTGTGTGTTTGTTGTTTTGGTCAAGGAGCGTTCCACAGGCGAACAATCATTTGCCAGTTCATGACAATTAGGACTAGGAATCTAAGTAAGGATTGATAAATTAACGATTCAAGCATGTGGATGCATTATTTGATAATGCCATCCCCCTATGCTTGCAGCCTGAGGTTATGGTTTGTCTATCCAACTATTGATGGATAAGTATGGGCTTGATGTTCAAATAAATAGATAAGTGGGGGCTTCTTTTCTTGTTTGTGGATTTTCAACGAAGGCATGCCAGTGTAACCTGTATGAATTATATAGTCTCGATCATTGATGCTCATGTATTAGAGGATGTTTGTTTAGCTTTTTCTTATATGCTTTTCGGTTATTGTTTCTCCAGATTGCTGAAGCAGATGTATTCAAGGAGACAAAGCAGTTTACATACAAAGATGGTGCTCAGTTTGTTTTTATGGACTTGGTATTGCTTACTCAGCATATAATCCAATTTATTTGGCAGTAGAGATCCTTACAATCGTATTTTTCTATCTATTCTTCTGAAAGTTGCATGAATAGCTAAAATGTGAATATGTTTTTACTATGATTGTTGAATAATGGCTTTGAAAGACTTATTTTGTGAACTCGAGATCTCATTTTATGGAACCGTAGTAGATACACGGTTTATCAGTCCAACTGATGAAGAGTTGGACCAAAATATACTTTATGTATGTTCTTATCTCAAATTTGTGGCCCAGAGTACTTTCGAGGAATACCGTCTCAGTGAGGCAGATGTCGGAAATAAGACAAAGTGGCTAAAAGAGGGAATGGACTGCACTTTGCTATTTTGGAATGGAAAAGTAATTCCCAATTACCTTCTACTTGGGACATTTTGTGTTCATATGTTTATGTGAAATATAGATATATATATATAGATGTGCTCATTGAGCTCATTCATTTGATATGGATGCACAGTTAACTTGGTCGACATCCATTGAAAAAAACAAGTGTTGCAATTGTTGTGCCGGTGTGCTGTTTACAAAATTGGTTGTACATGTTCTTGCAGGTTATTGATTTTGAACTTCCAACCACAGTACAACTGACTGTTGTTGATGTTGATCCTGGGCTCAAAGGTGACACTGCTCAAGGTAATGCCATTTGGCTTCTTTAAGGAAAACTCAGCCAAAACAATCTATTCTCTAGGTGTGAATGCTCATTAAACTATCATCCTGTAGAGACATAAAATCGAGCAGGTTTTGTAATTGTGTGTTTACATTTGTCCCGGATGCATGAAAAGTGCAGTCACAGGAAGCAGAATAGAAAACCAGATAAGTTTGTTCCTGGACCATCATCATAAACTAGGGTGCTCAACACAGGTTTAAACCAGAATAACCACACGTTCAGATGCCAAAGAAAAGAAAGCAAAGCAGTGAACTGCCATCATGCCATTCATTGTGTGCATAGCTATCATGCCATGTGTGGATACCAATAGGCAACAGAATGGGCTCTTCTATACTGCACTTCGTTATTTTAGCTTTTAAGCTCATCATTACTGTTTATATGTTTCTTGGCCTTATCTTTTGAGAAAATTGCAGGTGGAACGAAACCAGCAACTCTGGACACGGGTGCTGTAGTTAATGTTCCATTGTTTGTTAACATCGGTGAAGAAATATTGGTAGACACAAGAAATGGGCAGTACATTAGCCGGGCATGAGTTTTTGGAGGTTATTTTTTGGTCTATCAGGCTTAGATAGCAGAAGAGTTGCCGACCATATGTAATTGCTTTTAGTTCTGAAATTCATATGTATACATCATTTGAGAAATTTCATAGGGCACAGTTCTTTTTTTTTTTTTTTGTACGAGAGACATGTTACGTATTCTCCCAGGCACTGCATGACAGAACAGCATTTGTAAATGGAAAAAGGTCACCTTGTCTCTGTTGCTGTATCATTTACAACTTCTAAGTCAAACCTTCGGAACATATTTTCATCTATCATAGATGGCAAGCAAACTGATAAATGGAAGCATTTTACTCATCTTCGTGGTTTTTTGTGCGGAACCACACCCCGAACCAATGCTGCACCGTAGACATTACAAGCACCCAGAGTCCTCTCCTGCCGATTCAATTCATGAATCAGTATGTCATAGGACATTCTACTTGGGATTTTACCATTTTCGTACATGAGAACTAGAACGTAAAATGCCTCCTCGACGTTGCCTCTAACACAAAGTGCTCGAATTACATTGTTAATGGTGATTAATCTAGGAATATATCCCGATCTAACAATCTGGTGCAAATTGATAAAAGCATCATCAGCTTTATTTGCCACGCAAAGAGCTTGAATCACCAAGGCATAGGTGCTCTGCGCTATGTCAAATCCCCCTTTCTTCATTTCATCGAACACTTCATAGGCAAACTCTACTGGGGCATTTTCTTTCAAAGATTTCCTACACAAACCTCTAACAAGGCTATTCATCAACTTCTCATCCACTTCAAATCCATTCCCCTCCAATTCCTTAAAAATTCTGAACCCAGCTAGAACTTTTCCCCACAGTAACAAACCTCGCAGCAATGTGCTATAGCTAATATAATCAGGCCTGCAATTTCTCTGTTTCATTAACTTCAGCACACCAAACCCTTTCATCGGCCTCCCTTCCTTAGCGTACCCATCAAACAGTGTGTTAAAAGTGACCACATTTGGTGTCAACCCCATCTCTAAAGCTTCATTAAGCAACTCCATTGCCTCATCTGATCTGCCTACCTTACAAAAACCATCCATCATAGCAGTATATGTATAAATGTCAGGTTCTGTAGTCGTTTTCTTGATATCCTCCAGTAGCTCAAATGCTTCCTCTACCCTCCCCACATAACATAAACCCTTCAACAAGCAATTATATGTTTGAACATTCGGTTTGCACCCAATTCTATCCATGACCTCAAACACTTGAAAGGCGTTCCGCAACTGACCCATTTTGCAGAATGAATTGATCAGTGTGGTCAATATTGCAACATTTGGATTAAACCCTTTTTGCACCATCTGGTCTAATACCCTTTTGGCCTCACTAGGGTCCTTTTTCTTGCAATGGCACCTGACCACGATTGAAAATGTCCAAGCGTCTGGCTCTAAACTGTAACATGATAGATTAGAGTACAATCTCAAGACAAGGTCAGGCTCATCTGCTGTGACCAAAGCCATGAGAGCATCATTGAACTCTGAGATGTTTAAAATTCCACTCTCTTTTTCAAGAACGTTGACAATATGATCAACTCCTTTAAAGGGTAATGCTTTAATTGTATCCAAAAGATCTTGTACCTTAAATTTACTAGCTTTCTTATCAAAATCCAGACTTTCTTGTTCTTCTTCTTTGATGGGCAAGCCCTTACGTTTCTCACTCTCTTTTGGGCATAATTTGTAATCCTTGTTACCAAGAATTGGACTTTGTAACCCTCTGGTTTCTGTAGGATAGGATTTTGTGGTGAATAATGACACTGCTGGAATGAAAACAAACTTTAGCCTTGGAAATTTGTTGTAACTAAGTTTGTAGGTGTTGTTGAAGAAAACTGGGCTACTGAGTGAAGGGGATTGGAGGAATTCAGACTGTAGAGAGCATGGAGAAGGCATCAGCATCATGTTGTGAGACAAGAAGAGAGAAGGAGACGTTGATGGTCTTTTACAGTCTTGACTATTGATTCGCTTTATCCCGAGTCACAACTCACAAGGAGGGATGGATATGATCTAACTGGAGTCGGATGTTGTTCCATCTGCAACTGATCTAAATCCGTCATCAGCTTTTATTAGATCGAATTGAATGGATGACTTCTTCTTTTTTAACGAGTATTTAATGGTTATTGGACCGGATGTGAGTTTTTTTTTTTTTTTTTTAATTTAGTTTTACAAGAATAATATTTAAATAAAAAGAAAATATGTATCTTCGACATAAATCATAAAATTATAAAATAATATTTAAATTTCTAATTTATGTATAAAGCATAAAAATCCTTCCTAAATCATAAGATAAAAATCTATACATTACATTAAAAAAAATATTAAAATTATAATTTTATAAAATAAATAAAAATTAAGTTAAAAAATCAGATGGGCTGTACGATAGCAGGCGTTTTCACATTTGACTCTAATTAAATCAGATTGGATTGCACCTGTTTTTTTTTTTAATCCGATCCAATGAAATCAGATAGCACCATATATTCATAAATCAGACTAAATTGTCATTCTTAAGCACAAGAAAAACAAAACAAAACCGCCATTTTTTGTCTTTTTTTTTCTTTTTTTCCCATGTACACAAAGGAGCAAAGCACCCAGATTGGTAAGAATAATTAGTTAAGAACAGGTAATCAACTCATATATTTGGATGGCGAGTAGATTTGTTCTTAAATTAAAAGAAGAAGAAGAAGAAGATGTTTTACATGTGAAAGAACTAGTTAGAATTTAGCTGTAAATATTTCGTTTAAAACTTAATTAGAAAGAATTTAATCTTAAAGTAGAGATATTTTTCTAAAAATAATCTAAATTTGAAACCAACAAAAATTATAATAATCCATAAACTACTTGTATTCTCTTATGATAGACATGATTTGCTATTACTTGTCATATTATTGTCTTCTTTTTTCTATTCTTGATGATTAAATTCTTATAAATATTAGTTTTGAGGTTCAAATTCAAAAAGCTAGAAAAAGTCTAACAAACTAATTATTCAATTTAATCGGAAGATATAAATATATAAATAATCTACAATGTTTATGAAATTTTGGTTCTTCAAATAAACAATTAAATAGTAACAAAACTATCATTGAATACAACCCACTTAAAAAAGAAAGAAAAAAAAATCCTAGCTCATGGATGAAAGAACAAACCAGCCCATAAACCAAACCAGGGCAGCAACCTCGTACCTTGTTTTCCAACGGCTACCTACCGCTGAATCCCCCAACCCCCCAAAACCAACACCCCCACCCCCGCCGCGCCGGGCGCCCGGGCGGACGCTACTTAACTAAGCGTTTAAGAGGCTAACAACCAATTTTGTTACTTTATTAAACCAAACCAGGGCGCTACTTGATTTGTAGATGTCTTACTTTATTCACAACCAATTTTTTTTATATTTTAAGTTTTCCATAAGTATTTACATTTGACATTGTAGATGAGATTAATGTTGTTCGAAAAGAAAAATATAAAATTTAAGTATTTTTATTAATATTTTAATAAAAAATTTCTTTGAATACCATCCGGACAATTTATTGGTATTGACAACCAAATTTTAATTTATCAATCTAAACAACTTGCTATGTCGTCTGCTTCTCCGTTTACTGCATGGAGTTATACATACCCCACCTTCTGGCTAGGTTTCATTCAATTCTTCATTCTAATTTGAATTTTTCTGGTGAATCATTTATTTGTTTAAATAAATACAAGTCAGGGAAAATCTAATTTAATCCTCTTATATATTCTTTCTTCATTGAGTTTCAAAACAATAAATTTTATCACCAACGTTTCAAAATATTTTCAATTAACTAGATCTTTCTATTTATCTTCGTGAACTTTTTATTCAATTTTTTTTTCAAATTTTAGTGTTTATTAACTTTTCTATCGCCATTTTAGAGCAGAAAACATGAATTAGACTTAGAATATAAAATGAAATTGATAAAAAGGGTCCAATTGAGAAAAATAAAAAATCATTAGAACCTAATTGCTAAAATTTATATGTTTGGAGTGCAATTGAGAATAGATATATAGGTTTGGGACTAAATTTAAGTTTTCCATATAAATACTACAACAGCGCAGAATGAGCTTCATAAATATTCATATCCATTGGTTTCAAATTACCAACGCTGCACAATTTACTCCTAAAAATTACTACTAAGATCGAAATTTTCTTAGCAACATATTCAATATTTATATTATATGTAGACAGTGTACATAAGTAGATTGATTATTCTAAGCAAATATGTAGAACAAGGAATGAAGAAAAAAAAAAAGATCATATATGGTAGTAAATTTGGGTATATATGAACATTAAGAGGAGCAAGGGAAGAAAATGCTCTTAATTAGAATTAATCAAAAGATGGATCAAACCATAATCAAATCCTTAATGACCTACTAAAAGCCTTCCAAGATTTGGGATCTTGAGGATTTGGCTCCATGCCTTCCTTTTTAGCAGCACCACTGCCACCTTTAGCCTTTCTACCAAGAATAGGCTTGAGCAACTTCTTCAAGAGCTTGTCAAAACCATACCCACGACGACGACGACGGCATCCTTGTTTCACCTGTGTTGCCAATGGTGCTGGAGCCTGCCCAGTTACTGGTGCCTTGAGCCGAGACCGCGATGCACCTGGCTCAGAAAGGCTCCTTCCTAATATGGCTTGGTTAAGCTGCACCTCAAAGGAGAGTCTCTCGAACTGGTCTAACAATGTGCTTTGCTCATCTCCAAATCTTTTGAGAACCACTGCTATCTCGTCCATTTCTTCCTTACTTTCACTGGGTAATGAGACATAGGAGAATTTACATAGGTTTATAGATGGGGTCATGCCCCATGACATGGAAGGAAGCTTAAAGGGTTTCTTTTTTCGCTTTTGAATGTGGCTCAAAGAAGCTGAACAAACTTGGAAGCCAAGCTCGATGGAAAGATGAAAAAAAAAAAAAAAAAAGAGGGCTTAATCCAGGAAAGAGGGCAAAGTATCAAATATCAATGTCCATTATATCTGCATGGAAACTTGAAAGACTGTAGAAATGTTAATTTGCAGTATATATGCCAGTTGGCCAAAATAAATAAGCTTCAAAGATTGGATATTTGGACTCTTTTTCTTTTTTTTTTTTTGGGAAATGACACTGATTTTTCTCTGGATTAATGGCAAGATACTCCATCTAATCTTCAGATTTCTTTTTTTAATTTGACCTCTCTAATTTTTCTTTATTTTTTTTTATTTTAATGTAGCCTCGTTTTTTGATCAAATTTTGAAACAAATATGACAAGTGCAAAATATTTGATAGATATAATTATCTCAGATAAGATTGCTACATGATAAAAAAATTAAAAAACAAATTCGAAAAAATAGCTAAAAAGAAAAAAGAATTAGGCATAAAATCTATTTCCATCTCTTTGTTTTCTCTTTATTTAAATCTATTATGTATTTCATAACACATTTGGATTTGATTGGATTGAAATTAACTTCACAAAACACTCGCCAACCTATCTATGTATGGATTCTGTGTAGGAAAGAAGAATAATAAAAATAAAAATAAAAAATCCTTTACTGAACAATATTCTCCTACAATTCGAAAACCATTAGATTTTTTTTTTCAATTTTTTGTCACGTGTAATTTTATCTGGTATGTCAGTATATCTATTAAATTTTTTACTACCTATCACCTTTATTTGGAAACTTGACTGAAAAACTATGAAGAGCCTACATTAAAAAAATTAGAAGACTAGAAAAATACAATAAATAAAAAAATAGCATGGTCATATTAAGAAAATCTGAAAAATAAAATAAAATAAATCCATTTTTCTCTCCGGTTCTTTTTGCCTTTCCAAAGTACTCGCTCATAGATAGATTCTGTTTCCAAGAATTGGATTTGAAGTTTGAACTGAACTTCTATTGGAGGATGTATCTAGTTCAAGGTGGACCATACGCATAAAGATTGTTGATCACAGAGTTTAATAATAATAAGAGAGAGAAAGTTAAAAAAAATTTGAGGCAACATGGAAATTTTCTCATTACTTTTAACAGATCGACTTGTGATATATTTTTTATGTATTTTTTTTTTAAAAAATGAGTCTATAAAGTAACTACTATATATGTATACTAATTATTTCTTAAGAATTACCTCACTAATACTATTAAGTCAATTAAAATCCTTATTATTAGGAATTATTGACTTTAATTTAAATTAAAAGCAAGTTATATATGATATAAAATTAATATTTTTTTACATGGTCAAATATATATATATATATATGTTTTAGACAAATAAAGGAGACATTTTATATTACTTCAAAAGTAATTAACAATATTTAGACCAAAAAATATAGGTGAATGATATTATTGGAGCCACAAGCCATCAAAGAAGTAATTAGCCTTTTAGCCATTCAACTAAAGCTAAATACTTTCACTTTATTGATTCTTTCTTGTTTGAAAGAGATTATGTTTTATTCCTTAAAAAAAGAAAAAAGAAAAACATGGTATCCTCCTTTGACACCCTTCCCTCACACAAAAGTAGCACCTTCCCTTTTCTGGGCTCGCCAAAAATAGGCCTCGCTCGGAACATTCAAGGGCCCATTTGTTTAAAAGTTTAAACCAGGCCAACAAAATAGACCAAATAGAAACTGAGCCTGAGATAATCTAATGGTCGGCCCATGTAATATTTTGAACGCGTTTTGATCTGTCATCTCGTGGTTACGCCAGAGAATTTGGTAGCGTAGCGTCGAGTACCTTTCTTCCCATTTCACAACTGGCACAGGCAGACAGACAAAGAAGACAACCTTCTAAAAAATCACATGAAATATCCATAGCCCTAGATTTCAAAGTTCTTCAATTTTTTCAAATGCATGTAGTAGGCTTGTGCTGATTTGAAAAAAAAGAAAAAGAAAAGCAAAGATCTGTAGTTCTGTTCTGTTCAGTAATGGATAGAAATGGAATTTTGAGACTACTTTTGCTCTTCTTCTTGATTTTCTCTGATGTTTCTAACGCTTCTTTTCTCTTGAAGATTCGACAATTGGTTGCTCTTCAAGACGGCAACAAGTCCGTCCAAATCCAAGTAAACTCTCTCTCTCTCTCTCATGTGTAATTTATTGTTATTGTTTTTGTTAGTAAGAGGGAAATTTAATTTAATGATGTTTTTATTTTTACTTTGTGAGAGAAAGACACTAATTTAACGATGTTTTATTTTTTGTTTGATTTAACTAAGGCATCTCCATCGCCAAGTCCAGATCCTGCTAAGACGCTAAATACGACAAACACTGAGGATAATTCGACAAGCATTAATAATAATAATAATAGCAGTAATATTAGTAATAATAATAATACGGGAATTGTGGGTCCGAGCTCGATTCCGGGGAATCAAACGGATAGTGAAATCGAGAAACATAATGATGAGCCGAAGAAAGTAAGTGAAGAGAAGGATCATCATAAGACTGATTCGGAATCAGAGGTTGGTGGGGAGAATTGCACAACAGTGGCTGCTAGGAGGTGCACAGACCTGAAGTCGATGACTGCTTGCGTTCTTGGTTTTGATAATGGTAATGATTTTTTTTATATAGCAATTTTTTTTTTGTTTTTTTTTTTGTTTTCAGCTATTTAGTTTCCATTTCAAGTTGCAATGTTCAATTCATTATATAAAATTGATAATTTAATGATGCATTTTATGTGTGCTGCTTGTTGCGAGTGAATGGTTTCGTTAATGTGTGGTTTAGGAGTGTGAGAGATAAAAATGGAAATGAATGGACTTTTTGTGCCTTGAAATGCGGAAGCCAGATGATGAATGTAATCGGGATCTTTTGGTGGTAAAGAACTTGATTTGTAATCTGGGATAGTAGAAGAGAATCAATCTTAGATTATTGTATCTGCAATTATCTTTGGATTAGATTTGGTAGCTACACCAACATTTAAGATAGGTGGTAGGCAATCATGTTATATTTGTCTTGGGTGCAACTGATTTGTAGCAGTGTAGTTACTATGGTCGCATTCCTTTTTTTTTTTTTTTGGCATAAAAAATAAGGACTAAATGTAAACCTTGGAATTGACATTACAAACTGTTTTACATTCCGTCAGTTAGTGGTGTTTGCAGGTATGTGTAATTTAAAAGATGTATAAATCTGGTTCCTTGATCTAATGAAAATGGGAAGTCAAATTTTAAACAAGGCGGCATCGATATTTCCAGAGAAACTATTTGGAGTTTTCTGGATATAGGAATCTATGATAGTAACAGTATTGCATGTGGAGTATATGCTTTCAAACTTCTAACGTTGACATTGATAGTCAAGTATTTGTTGGCCCTTGTAAAGTCATTAAATAGGATTATGGTATTAGAATGATGGCATATTTACCTTTTCTGTTTCTAAAAGCAATGTAGTCTATATTTTTTAACTTGCATTAAATTCTTTGGAACTCAAAAATCTCCTGTAATTCCTGTAATATTTGTAATAATGTCTTATCATTTTCATTGTGATTCAGTATAGCTAATTTATATTTAATTTTTTTTTCTCAAGCTTACCTTCCTTTCTGAATGCTTGTTCTTAAGATATTGAATTATTGCGGAATTGGCTGTGTAGAAATCCATATGGGATGTTAAATAGCATAAGGGAATTAGTCATGGATTACTATGCAATTATGTTTTAAGTTTAAAATTATCGAATTGTTTTCTTGGTAGTGAAGAAACAATATGTTAAGGGTAGCCAACTGTGTGGCATCTTTTGTGGGTTCAGCCTATTGCTGTACTAGTGTTTTATTTTATTTTTGAGAATCATAGTTTAGTTATTTTTCTTGCAATGGCTTTCTTTTTAAAATGACATTATGCAAACCTTGGCATTGCACATCCAACCTGTTTTAGGTTTTATCCATCAATTAGTTAGTGGAACATTGATATATGATAGTGTAACTCAAGTATTCAGTATGCCTTCACTGACACAATAAAAGAGTAATTTATTTATGAAGCCTACACTTGGAAGTGCTCGTTTTACTTTGTGTATGCATTATTAAGACAATTTCCTTGATTAATTTGTGGTCTATGTTGTCTGATGAAGTAGGATATCAGAATGATGGCATATTCCCAAAAGGAGACTCCTTTGTCTGTTTCTTAACCAAAGTCTTCACATTTTGAAGTTGCATAAGTCCTGTTGAGATTGTAAAAGATCTCCTGTACTCCGATGTGGAATCTCATGATAATCCTGGGCATGCCTGTCTAAAACTTTCATTAATTCAAGATATGTAGTTAATATCCGTTCCCCCCTTACCCCTCACTATCATGTTCTATGTTTAATTTACTCCAGTTGTGTGTATTTTGTTTAATTTTCGGAAGCCCTTATGGTCTCCTTTCTTTCCTCTTTTGTAACTAGTTACAAAGTTCGGGCACCGACACCTCAGCTGGATATTATGACTCGTGGATTTGAATGGCTATTTTGTTGTGGCAAGAAGAGTTTCATGCTATAACTTGCAACCCTTGAGGCTATGCAATTACGATTGGATTGGCTTATAATATGTACCTATCAACCCTTTTTTCCTGGAACAAAAGAAAATATTAAGTCCTAGATATTTCATTTTAGCTCCAATCATGGACCTCTCTGTTTGAGTAGGAGAAGTACCCATGCATTTATAGGGGGTTGGTGGGAGCACCAACAAGCACTAACTTGGTTTTGTCAATAGATACTAGGAAAGTTTTTAAGTCTTGGCATCAAGATGAGATTGGAACACATGCCTTATTGAAAGCGGTCTTATTGGAACTTATGAAGGACAAGTATCGTCACAAGCATCCTTAGGAGGTGCCTAAGAAATATTTAATCTACCACTTACTGTTATCTTGTTCTTGGGCTGAGCAACTTCCACTTTAAATCAGACATTGGTGCATCATATTCAGCATGTGATCTGCATTTTCCAGATCCCAATCTTCATATAGGCAGGTTTAGACCTCTGTCATTGCACAGAAGCAGCATTTCTTTGGTTTACAATGTTGTACTTCCTTGGTGGCTGCACAGTGTGGATGCAATTTCTTTGTTCGTGAATCAATTGTTCTATTTAAAAATAACTTTAAAAAGTTCTGACATTTTCAATGATTCAGATTTTTTCATTTCTCTTATCGTTACTCTCTAGAAGGCTGCTCTGTGGAGACTGGAGAATTGTTATTTTTGTTTCTTTGTCCTTAAAACTTGCTGCCTTATGAAATTGATAAGCCTTATAGATGTTGGGCAATTTAGCCTTCTATTGATAATCCATAGATACAGGTGTCTCTCTTAGTGACAGCTGGTATGCCTCAGCATATCCACTTTTGGTGGATACCTTCTGTTTATAGTTCTCTGGATACAAAACAGACTAAAACATGAACATAAAATATGCTGCATAGAGTACAAGCTAACTTCTGGACAATGATAGTATATGTAGCAGCAACATCAGACCTGGATCAATGGCCACTAACCATAGTGATTATATACTTGTTAACATGTTTCATAGGCTAGTCTTCTCTTGTCAACTATATCAGGTGGCGAGTTTTTGTCTGCAGTTTCATATCAGTTATTGCTGGTTATGCTTATATGCCGTATTGCATCTGCCAACTTTTATCAATAAGCTAAAACAAGTGCTTTTGGTTGTTTGAATTGTGCTCAGATAGCCTTCTATTGCAACCTTTTGTCTATTGCCTGTCCAGCATTTTGTTTTTTGGGACCTCACTTCTGTGACTAGCAAGTAGATAAAATACATGCTGTGGAAGAACTTCATTTGCTTCTGTGTTACACATTTTCTAACCCACTTCGAAAAGTTATGCTGTTATTTGTTGAGGAGTACTTAATGTTACCATTTTTATGTAGTTCATCATCTAATGTTCCTTTCTCTTTGTAGGATCTCAATGGTGGACAGTTCTTATACAAAATTCTGGGGAACACAATTTGTCAGTGGATGTGCTCGCCCCAAATCCTATTGACAATTCTTTGGTTGAAGTAGGGAAACACCGAACAAAAAAGGTATGGGTCCTTTTCCTCTTTCTCTGTGTTGCTTCTATAGTCGACTGAAGATCTATTTGGGAAAGCTGTGGCCTTCGCTGTGGCGGTTATAACTGTAAAGAAGTGTTACTGGTTCTTGGCTTCCACTAGCTTGATTGAATGCATTATTGTACAATAATGGCTGGAAAGATTTGACTGAGAAATAATTGACATACAGGGTTCAATCCAGTGGTAAACTTTAAATTTACTAGACAGCATAGGAAGATCAGATGGAGCTAGAGAATATCTTACTACCAAGTTGGGATATTTTTCTTTCACTTGTTCTGTAATTTAATCTTGCTCGGTTGCACCATGGTACTAAGTCAGACAGGTTGTGATGTTTCATATCAGTACAAATTATAAATGTGCTTCACCTATTCCGATTTACAGGTACATTTGTTGGCCTCCTTCTTAAGCAGAGTTTCCCTGTTTGCTTTGCAGATAAATTTGACTGTTGGTGAAAACGCAGAGGTGATATTAAATGCTAAAAACGGGGAATGTGTTCTGCACTTGGGTCCTCTTGGATCTCACGGAAACTTTTTCTTGTACCTCCCTTCTTATGACCAGCTAATTACCCCCATCAATGGTGCTTACTTCCTAATTATTACAGTGGTAGTTTTTGGGGGTACACTTGCTTGCTGCATGTGTAGGAAGAGGAGACGGGAGGCTGGAATCGCTTATCAGGAGCTTGAAATGGCAATGCCAGAATCTGGTATTGCCAACGATGTAGAAACAGCAGCAGGCTGGGATAAGGATTGGGATGATAACTGGGATGAAGAAAATGCAATAAAGTCACCAGCTGTTCGTCATTCAGCTAGTGTCTCAGCAAATGGCCTTACTTCTAGGAATCCAAACAAAGATGGATGGGAGAATGATTGGGATGACTAGGGCTTTTTGCAGGGAGAAAAGAAAGAAGTTCTTCCTTCCTAGGCGTTTGGACAAGGAGGTGAATAAGAAAACGAATAGATATACAAAACTTAGGAGATATGAAATTTGATTGTAGATCATTCTGACACGAGCAATTTTGGCATTTTTAGTTTCGTGTAACAGTGAGAGTCCGGAGAGGAAATGACACTCGGAGATGATGTAATCTTTTTGCTTTTTGTGAAATGTAAATTGTTTGTCTCACCTTTGTTTTTGTGCAACCTGCTTTCTTTAACAAGCACTTCAAAACATATCTCATTGCATTTTCTGTTTTTATTCATTGGAGGGGAACCCAATTCTTGTTTTCGATCCAAAAAAAAAAAGGGGAAACAACTATCGAAGGGCCTGAATGGGCTAAAAGGCCAGAGCTTTAATTATCATATTTTAGGCATGAAGTCAAATGGGTGTAGCAGAACCGGTCCTTGGACACAAAAGCAGAACAAAAAGTGGTGCCTGTCAATCAATCAAAAAATGTAATTCCCCACTCATATCTGGTATGTTCTTGTCATGGATTATGGATATGGTTGTACTTTTTACCTTTTTCTAATCAGCAGGTCCCATGAGTTGGAGTCGCATAAAAAATAGTCGGTCCAAAATTTCTATGCTTTCTACTACATCCTTGGATTGAACCCTGGACCAAAGTTTCTCCCTGTCGTTCAACTATTTTGATTCAGGTTAACAATGGCAAGCATGCTAATTGACTCTAATTAGGACACCAATCCATTTATACCGTGATCCTTCTATATCAAACCTTTTAAGAGTTATGTTATTTTTCTCCTTTTCTCTTTTTAATATATTGTGATTAAATTCTTCATCGATCAAACCTAAAATGGGTAACATCAGGAACAACCCACATTCCACTAGAGTTAATAGCTGAAGCATCTTATGTTAATTTTTGTAACAGATAAATCTTCTTGGCAAAGAGTGAAAATTGTTCTAACGTACCCACAAAACTAACCTTTGCATGTTCTTCTCGAGCAGGGTATGCCAAGAAGCAAAGGTAAACTATTTCTTTTCTATTGAATCAGAGGATACTACAGTTTTCCTTGAGTGATTATTACAATCATAGTTTTAAATAACGAATGAGTGAAAAATGAAGGCGGTTATCATCGCGGATCGCGATTTACTATAATATTAAAATAACAATAACGGGATGCTGCGAAACCGTTATACAACGACCATTATATAACGTAACGGGAGTTATTTAAAACTATGATTACAACAAGAAGCACCATGGCTCCAAATAGAGTTTGGTATGTGCACTTCCCTTTTTACCATCCTTAGAAGTTAGCAATACAAACAGGTACTAAAAAATAACAGAACCCTAGGAAAGAATTTCTTGGATTCCAACTTCTATAACATGGCCATCGACTAAAATGATAGTTGATGAAAAAAAAAAAAAACAACCTGGAGGAACAGATCTGTGGAACTCTGATAAACTTTGTTTGTGTTCCATAGTTTTAGAACTTTCCTTTCATTTCACTGGTAATAATTATGATGTAAATCAAAAGGTATGGGCACACTATTTCAGAAGAGCATGTTAAACTTTTTCCCTTCATAAGGCATATTACCAATGAATATCATGCAAAGTTCCCACTTTGAAAATGCAACATGATTGCCATGCACTAATATTGCCACTCAAAAAAGCGTCATGGAAGTGCTTTTCAGGACCCCCATGTGATTTGCTTTGATGATGTCCATGTCCATTTTCATTTGGTTCCCCTTGAGGGCCAAAACCATTTGATTAAACTAAACTTCAAACCTAAGGGTTAATTATTTACTCTAGTTGCAGATATAGAGGAGGTTGTTTATGATTTAATAGGATTAGAAACCGTGTGTGACCAACTTGTGAAGGAGTGCATTGGTAGTATAATTGGCATCGGTTGGTACAACGAATTGAGAGCATGACTTATGACTATGCTTTGCAATGAGTAAAAAAGTTGTTGACCATGTTGCAATTGAGGGTGCAATAAATTCCCAGAAAAGCAAAAGGTTAAAGCAGTGGCAAATTCAGGCTTAGAAGTATGAATAAAGCAAAAGAGTGCTTTTTTCAAGAGCATCATACCAATTAATACTTCCCAGAAATCTTTGTTGTTTGATACTGACTTCAGCTGTTCTTTAGCTTATTGTTTTTGTTCTCCTTTCATTTACTTGTTGAAACCTTAGTCCATATATGAACAAGAAAGAAACCCAAATGAACAACTTTTCGGTTACCATTTGAGTGAACAACAAAACAACATCAAACGAATATATGATACTATTAAAATTTAAACAAAGATGAGTAAACTCCACAAAGAGGAATACCATTGATGCAATATCGTAAGTGCCCTGTATTCCGGTGAAAAGGAATCCGGTCGTGGAAAATGTAAATAGAATTGTCATAAAAGGAAAAGGGATACAAATAAGATTACAATTAAAAAAAAAAAAAAAAGACAGTAAATTCAACAATATACTCTTTTTTTCTTCTTTTGAACCAACTGGATTCTTCTTCACCAGAGAACATTTTTTTTGGTTTCTTTCTTGAACTCTACTACAAGTCCAGTTCACTCCAACTCTTCCTGGCCCTCTGCAGGACATTGGATCAGCTCTAAAATATTGACCACTTCTTCCATGTCTGGCCGATTTGATGGCACTTGGGATGCACATATCAAACCAAGTTTTACTACTGGAATTGCCTCATCTGCTGGAAAATTTCCTCTAAGTCTGCCATCGATGCATTCCTCCACTCTGCCATCCTCTAGTGCTCCTCTCACCATATCACATAGCACAACCACATCATCCTCCATGTATTCCACTGGTCTCTTCCCTGTCACCACCTCCAAAACCAAGACCCCAAACCCATACACATCACATTTCTCAGTTATCTTCACAGTTCGACAAGCAAACTCAGGAGCCATGTATCCTAATGCACTCTGGATTTTGCTGCTTAAGATGCAACGGTCTAATGTGGGCAACAACTTTGCCAGACCAAAGTCTCCCACCTTTGGCTCACCAGAATCATCTATTAGAATATTGGTAGATTTTAAATTGTAGTGAATTATGTTCATGTGATGCAAATGGGCCAAACCTCTAGCCATTCCAAGAATTATGTTGAATCTATGTCGCCAGGAGAGGTAGTTCCTATCTGGTCCATCATGGAGATGCTTATACAAACTTCCACTGGATACATATTCATAAATAAGGAGTTGCAAGGATGAAGTCCAGTAATAACCTTCCAGTGCAACCAGATTATGATGCCTAACCTTTCCAAGTTTCTTCACTTCCCTTTCAAATTCATCTTGGGACTTGATCAAACTTGAAACTGTTAGCTTCTTTATAGCAACTGAACGCCCATCTCGAAGTATTGTTCGGTAAACAACTCCAAACCCACCGCGACCAAGTTCTGAGTCTTTGTTGAGTAATGCATGAGCCCCAGCAACAAAATCAGCATCACCAGAAAACATGACAAGCTTGCCATAGTTTGGATCATTAGTCGGGGAACAGCTGAAATCCTCCCCGCCAGAAAATGTGAAACCAGCTGCAGAACGTGCCATAGAAGACCGGACACGTATATTGAGGAGAGTAACAGCTACCACACCAAGGGTAATGCAAGCGGCTGCACCAATAGCAATGAGGGCAGAGATACTGAGTACAATCTTCCTGTGATGGCGATTTAAAGAGGTGCCATTGGAGGAGCCAGAAGAGTTGGGATTCAGGACAATAGGCTTCTGATGGTCAGAAGGGCAAGATCGGTGGACAACAGAGCCACAGAGGGATGGATTACCAGAGACAGATGACGGGGAGATTGTGTTGAAGAAACCCCCAAGTGGAAGGTCACCTTGTAGGTTGTTATGGGAAATATTGAAGGATAGAAGGTGGGAAAGATTAGTCAGCTCTTTGGGCAAGCTTCCAGATAAGCGGTTGAAAGATAAGTCTACATATTGAAGGTTGCTTAGGTTAGCAATGGCTACTGGAATTGGACCAGTAAGGTTGTTCCAAGATAGAATTCTGCATAGTGCAGGAGAAAAAGAGAGAGATTGTTAGAACAATGTAGGTTCCATAACTTATAAATTGAAACTACAAATTATAAAATGAAAATACAATCAAGAACAGCAATTCAAGAGTCCAGATTTTTTGTTGCTGTACTTTTGTTCGTTTTATCATTCTTTTTCAGCATTTCACCATTTAACAAAGATATCAGATGACCAAATCTCATTCATAGATTTAAGACCGGCACCAAATAATAATGTACTACGCATTAGTAAACCCTGCTGATTATACAACTAAAACAAACAACCATGAACACTCAAAAAAATCATCCCAGTCAGGTCCTGCTGCATAGATGTTAGCTAGTTGCCATCTGGTGAGTCTGTCAGCACTAAAAACCTAGATAGTTTTTCATGTGCACCAAAATGGCAATAAAATTGGCTACAGAGATCAGACTAAACACTACAAGCACATAATTAAACTGAGAGCAGGCATATCAATCTAGTTGTTTCATATAATAATTTCAAAAAGAACTAAAGCAGCCAGAAGTGTGACCTGCCCTGTAGAATGATACGTTTTTGGCACTAATGGTTAAATGTAATAGCTCTCAATCGAAAATTTTAAGGGACTGCTAATTGAATTATAAAAACAGAAAGTTCTATTCTCAGATTACTGCAAGCACAAAACACTTGGAAATAACAAAGGGAAGAACCATATGGAGAGCTTTTAAAGTAAAAGCAAAGCAGGCGAGGAAGAACTCACAAAGACGTTAGAGATGAGCAATTCTTGATTTGAGTGGGAATTTTCCCAGTTAGCAAGTTCTTCTCCAATCGCAGTTCCATGAGTGATACTGCTCCTCCAAGTTCAGAAGGAACTCTTCCAGTTAGCCTATTATCACTCAAATCCAGAGCTTGTATCATTGCTAATTCTCCTATGCTCGACGGAATAGAACCAAATAGTTGGTTCCTTGATACATTCAAGTGTAGCAAACTGCTTAAAACCCCTATGTCAGATGGAATTTCTCCAGAGAAGACATTTGAAGATAGATCCAGGACCTGAAGACCTTGAAGAGAGGCTGCCAATGATACACCTGAAGGATGTTGTATGCTCTCATTGAGTCTGTTCCCGGAAAGTGAAACACTTTTTAACCCCGACTTGAAAATCCATGAAGGAAGACTACCTGTCAACCGATTATGGCTAACATCTATAGCCAAAAGGTTAAGGCAATTTGTCATCGACTCAGGCAATCCTCCAGTAAGCTGGTTCATGGAGAGATTCAATTCCTTCAATACATTGAGGTTTCCAATTGAAACTGGAATCCGACCCGAAAACCTATTGGCAGAAAGATCCAAACTTTCAAGATTTGTCAACTCCCCAATCCACCCAGGAACTTCCCCTGTGAATGAATTTCCTCCTAGTCTAACAGTAGCACATGAACTAAGCCTCTGCAATGACTCTGGAAGACCACCGGACAAAGAATTCTCACTAAAATCAAGCAGCTTCAAAACCTGACAACCTCCAATATCCACTGGTAGCTGCCCAGTGAACCTATTCCTTTTCAAATTAATGGCTCTCAAATCATACAAATTTGCAATTCCTTTAGGAATCTCTCCTTCCAACAAATTATCGGACAAATCAAGAGTCTGTAGCCCTCTCAAATACCATAATCCAGATGGCAATTCACCAGAAAGGCCATTCGACGAGAAGTTAACCAATGAAATTGTCATACAAGAGCTCAAAGAACCAGGAATGATCCCTGTAAGATCATTCCTAGCAAATGAAACAGACCTCAATGACCCACATTGTTGAAAAAGCCCATCAGGGATTGACCCTGATAGACTATTATTACTCAAGTCAACAACTTGTAAACCCCCGAGTCGAGGAAGATCAGGGTTTATAGTCCCATTGAACTTATTATTAGCTAAAGATAGAACCTGAAGAAATTGTAGCCTTAAAAGGCCACGACCAATGTGCCCAGATAAAGAGAAGCCATCAAGAACCACTTCAGTGACCCGATGGGTATTCGGGTCACATTTGACACCAGCCCAGTTACAAGGACTATCATCATCTTCATTCCATGACGAGAGTTTAGACTCGGGGTCTTGAAGACCTGCCTTGAATACTATTAAGCCAAGAACATCATCACTGAATGTTGAGTACAAACACTGTACCAGCAGCAGTGGAGCTAAAACAACTAAAAAGAACAACTTGAGTAGCATTTTTCTTTCAATTCAATCCAAACTTTTGATATATTTGATGCTAAAAATGTAAGGACCCCATGAAAGAATGCAGAAAAAGTGGAGCAAAAGGGCTATCAAAGTTGAAAAGGAGAGATATTTGGGGCAATCAAAGATGGCAACAAACGCTTGTTGTGTCAAAAGACAGAGAACAAGATGGAGGTTACAACTAACAATGGCAGAGAGGGAGTAAAAACAAGAAAGTTTTGTTCTCTTTCTTTTGTTTAATCTTTGGAGATATATGAGAGAGAGCTTTCTGTCTTCGTAAACATACACTGCTAGTAGAAGCTAAAGATGGTGAAGTTACAAGCCCTACAATGGAAGAAGCTAAAAAAATTTACAGGCACAACAAAAGAAAAGCAAGAAAGAGAGAGAGAGAGAGAGAGTCAAAAAGAATGAGAATGTGGGTGGCTATATCTTTTGGACCAAAAATAAACCAAAGGCTAAAAAATAAAACCACAGCTGCAAAACCCACTTTCTATTTTCCATTTATTTACTTTTTCAAATTTCAAAAAAGAAAGGAAAAAAAAGATACTACTTACTAGTATAGATTATAGAAATACTCACAAAATACAACCTTTGATCTCCAAAAGAATGAAACACCAACCACCAAGGTTGTTATGGCTAGTTACTGACTTAGTTCTGACTCAACAGGAAAGAAAATAAGAAAAGAAAAGAAGGTAAACACAATTAAGACGGTTAGGTGGTGAAGGAATGGAGAAGTTAATAGGAGTGGATAATTTTGAAGAAGGGAATCGTGGCGGGAGGATAGCCGGTAAAGCAGCGAAAGAAGCGGGAGGTAGAGGGATTTTTAACAATTTTTGAAGGGATTAGAAGAAGAGAAGAGCGGAGCACGAGCATTTAATGATGGATGGGGTCAGAAGAGAGAGAATGGAGAAAGAAAAACAGTAATGATTCTGTTTCGGTGTTGGCGTTAGTGGGTGTAATAAGAAGGAAAAGAAAGAAAGAGTAAAGTATGCCGTGCTGTTCTGTTATGGCAGCAGAGAGCATTTAACGCTTCTTTCTTTTTTTTGAAAAAGAAAAAACTGTATATAAAACAGAACAGCTTCTCGATGAAGGAGGGAAGGATTTCCTCGTTGCTTTTCGTCGTATACACATTTTGATTTTCATGGTCAAAGTAGAATCCGACGTCTGATTCCTAGTGCCATTTCTTCAATCCTACTCATGTTTTTTCTTTCTTTTTTATTAATTTTTTTGTCCAACGCCTGCCAAATTTGTCAGAGGATATTATCTTTTTCATTTTTTGTTTTCTGTCAGTCTCAAGCGTAGGAATTTTAAATTTAAAGTCCACTCCACTCCTCCCTCTGTTCATACTTCACTCTAGGAGTCCGCCTGTGTCGGATGATTAATGGACTAACTAAGGATCTAATGTGGAAATTTGATCCGTTCTATCATCGAACATCTTGATCAAATTTGATCAACTTCATCCTCGATTAAAAAAAAAGTATGAACTCTTTGAATGTATCAGGGATTCTCTGAAAGAAGAGAAGATAGGTGATTGACTATTGCTCAACCAAGTTGAAAAAACTGTTAACGTAGAACAGAGACTGAAACACTATACACTGGTAAAACAGAGACCTGCACCTCTTTTTGTAGATTGTTGAATGGAGACATGATACTATAGACACCGTAGTTAATTCAATAGTACCGGTCCAAGATTGGACTGCAAAGTACAAGAAAAGGCAAATCCTAGTTGCTGTTTTCAATGATCCATGTGTGGTCATTAGAATGTTGCCAAACTACTCCTTGTTTTTTAACATTTTCTTTATTGTTGTTTGTATTATACCAGCAAGCAACCTGCTAGTTTATGATTTCCTCGTAAATAATCAATAAAATAAAATAAAACCTGCTTCTTTTGGCATTTTTCTCCGCTTAGATAGTTCGTAAGCCAACCTTACCAACCTAGCCTAGTTCATCCTTTGAGTGTTAGCTTGTGTTGCAATTAAAACATTTGTTTTTCACCTTATTTTTTTTTCATTATTATTTAGAATACAAATATAAAAGAAGAAGGTCTTGAAAATGAGGTTTTTTTTTTTTTTAACGATATACACCAATTAGATAAGAAATAATTTACCTTAACTTGGTTTTTTAAAAAAAAACATAGTTTTTATAAACAAAATATAATTCAAAGATGTTATATCGTTTACGAATTATTTGGTATCCAGATTCTTGAATACATGAAATATTATTCTCTTTATTGTACAAGATAACTATTCTCTTTTTGAGAAACTATGAATTTTTATGAATCTCACTTGTGAGATTTCTAACCACGTCATTAGTTATTAGTTTAGTAGTAGAAGTTTTGAATTTTTAATAGAAAGTCTAAGATTTAAATCCTATTTTTTAAGTTTTTTTTTTTTTTGTGGTTACTACAAATCTTATGTCTATTTTCTCTATTCAAAAAATATGAAAGTCTTAAAACTCTCAGTTTTAAGATTAATTTGTATCCATAAAAAATATTTAAAGAATGATCAGTTGTGGGTTAGGAAAAACAAAAAGGAAAGAAATTATGAGATTTTTAAGGCATAGGGAAACACAGCATTTCTTATATATATATATATATTTTTTTTGTGAATATGAGATTTCTTAATAAATCAAACACAATGTTATTCTGATTATTAAATTTCAAGGCAAAAGGGAATAACAAAATTCATCTCTACCCAAAAAAAAAAAAAAAGGGAATTTCGGATTCTCGGTTTATTAAATAATTAATTGACCTTTTTCATAAAAAGAATAAAACATTTAAGATCCCTTTTATGAACTCCAATTATTTTTCCAGTTTCCACGCCTGGAACCCTCTTATCGATGTAATAGAAAATTGGTGCCTTAAAGTGCTTCTCGGGGAGCTGCAATAGATTATAGATGAGTGGCGTAAATGGCGGACTATCGTGCTAATAATATCTAAATCTGAAAAATCTGTTGTGAGTCCAAATTACGACTTGTGTAATTCTTGTTGTTTCCCTTTGAAGTTTCCATGCCAGGCAAAACCAATCCGCTACCTTTTTTCAAAGTCTATGATTTCATTTTGAAAAATTCTATCTTACTTTAGAATAATTAATAATAATTACTCTATAAAGAACTATAAATATAAAGAAGACATAAATAAAAATATTTTTACCAATTTTGAGGATTTTTTTTTTTTACTAAAGAGTTTATAGCTCAATAATACTGATCTTTTATAAGAGATCACGGATTCAAATTCTAACATATTAATTGCGATAAGAGTCTTAAATGTGTAAGCTATATATATATAATTTTTTTGCTTTTATTTACATATACTTCTCTTCTCGAAATAACTATTGTTGTTTAAAATTTTAAAATTTCTGGTTTCTCCTGTACAATATAGTTGCATGCATAAAGCAAAGAACACCATTAATTTTTGCTTCTTCTACTAACACGTCATAATTAACACCACAATTGTTGGCGGATAAGCTTTTATTTTGTATGTTATTTGAGAGATCTAATTTATCTTGTGGATGGAATTTAACCTCCCATAATTTTGTTTGTTTGATGGAAAGGCCAAAAGAGTAAATTAAAAACTGTTCTTTCTTGTTTAGAGAAATAAATTAATTAGTCATCTTTTTTAAAAAAATTAATCATTTAATAACTCGTATTTTAATTACATTAATAACTTAATCGTTTCATCAATTTTTTATTATATTAGTGATTTTTATTTTTAAATTATCTTCTTCTTTTCTTTTCTTTTCTTTTTTTTTTTTTTTTGATTGAGAAGAGAAAATATATATATGAATGAGAAAAATAAGACATCAAAAGAATAATTTAGGATAAAAACTATTAATTTTATAAAAAATGATGAAAGAACAAAATTATTAATGAAATTAAAACGTAAAGAATTAAATAATTAATTCTTAAAACAAAAGAGATTAATTAATTTATTTTTCAAAATAGGAGGGACTAATTTATAATTTACTCGAGGTGAAAAGTATCCTAGCTATACAACAAAATAATTCTCACCCATCATAACAGAATCTTCAAATCTTGTATTCCACTCATTTCTATAATTCTATAGCAATGCTATACATATTTTAAATTTTCTAGACTTTATTATTATTATTATTATTATTATTGAATGACGTAGTAGTGCCTACTTTTTTTAATATTTTTTTCAGGAAAATATTTTCCTGCAGACCGATCAGCGGGAGAACTCCAGCTGCCTGATAGTCTGAGAAGTGGCTATCTCATATCAAGGCAAGAAGGATTTGCATGAAAAGTTTAGAAAAAAAGTGTCGTCGTATTATTTTCTAACCCAAATTCAAGAATTTTGTTTTTCTTTCCTATGCAACTCCCCAGTCTCCTCTCTCTCCCTCCCAATTTTCCCGTTCTTTCAATTTCTTTCCTCGTTTATATTTTACCTCTTTTATATGAGAAATATGAGTTCTTAGCATTCTACTCTCTTGAATATCTAAGGTTCCATTGTTCTCATTAATCTTTGAATTTGTTATCATTGTTTTTTATTTCATATGGACTGGAGTCCTATAGGGTTCGGCAACTGCAATGGAAGACCAAGAATCATACCCTTTGCCTCTTCGTTTTTTTTTTTTTCCTTTTATATCAATATCTAACTTTCGTTTGTTTTAAGTTTCTGTTCAAAATCTGGGTTTTAGGAATGATTTGGGCAACTATTAAAAGATTATCAGCCAGAGATTAAAAAAAAAATCGAAGAAATGAAAGGTATTAAGCTTGTTGTCATTTAATTAAATTTAATTAAATATAATAAAATTACAAATTAATTGAAACTAAATATTTTATTTGAACGATATTAATTTTTCAGATTAATTTGATGTACTTTTTTAAAAAAATTAAATGATGTTATAATGCTCAATTAATATTGATTAATTACGTCGTTTCATAATTATATTTTTTTCAATAAATGTGATAAATTTTATATGTTATGATCGGAGGTTTTTTCAGTGCCAAATATCACATTACTTCCTGACAAA